TTAAGAGGTTGGTTGAATTTAATAAAAACAGTGTAATTTATGTGCAATTATCTAAAAATTGATTCTTTCTTTTGTCTAGGTGATTTAATTTTAGTGAACTTAACTCCTTCCCCGACAAAATGATCTCTAATGAAGCTAGAATGGCACCATTCACTGACAAACCTTTCTCTTGACAACGAGGAACTTTTTAAAATGAAACTTCAAAGAGGGTAGTCACTTAATATCGAATTATATGCGGAGGGCAAACTGGCTTTAGACAAAGACTTGTTGAAAAGAACTTTGCCATGTCCTGGAAAAAGGGTACAAGGTTAATAATTAAGATCTTTTCCGAACAAACAACATTTTTGGTGTTTTTCCTTTTTCATTGTTGATGATTTCCTATTCCTTAATTGGGGGTTCTTCATGTACAGGTGATGAGCTTAAAGTGTGCTCATCCCTTTCCATGCAACTAGAAAAAAGAAAGTGAGGTTAACATCTTCATTTGTATGGTAAGAGGCTGTTCATTGATGTTGTAGTTTAAAATGCAGTACAAATGCTAATTGAGGTTCCCTATATTATTTATCAGCTTTCAAGTGAATTGGATTTACATTCGATTTTGATATATAAAGTTAAAGAGGTCATTTGACATCCTATAATTTAAAAAAAAAATTATTCCTTGAAAAATTAAAAAAAAAAGTGTCGTATAACTCCTAGTTGGATCTTGGATTCGACTTTAAGAACTATAGAGCCAAACTTGTGTTACCCAAGTCCAGCTCATAAACTACCCATAACCCTTATAACCAGATTAATCGGGTAGAATATTTACTAAAGTTTTGGTTTAATATGTTTTCTCAAATAAAAAAGTTTAGTTTAATATGTATTTTTTTCCAAAAGAAAAAGAAAATAATCTTCATTGTCATCGTTATTATTAATTTATTATTATGCTAAATCACGTCAAGTTTCAACTCTGGTGTATATCAAGTTAGACTTTTCGTGTGGCACCTGAGGTAACTAAATAGTACTATTATAGTCGTATTTTGTTTAAAAAATATTAATTAAGTTATTAGTGAATTATAATTTTATTAATGAGCATAAATATATAAAAAAATTAATATTTTTTATAAAAATTATTTATTAATAAAATAATATTATTTGATTTATCTGATAAATAAGATGTTATCATATAATTTACTAAAAATATAAATAATTTGATAACAAATTAATTATAAATTAATTTTTTTAATAAATTAATACTAATACGTTACATTGCGTGCGAAAAAAAATTACTAAAATATAGTAGTAGCAATCAGTTTTGCTTGATCAACCTTGCCCTTGGTAACAGAACAAAAAGCAGGAAATACGTTGTTTATTGAAAGAGCAGGAGCTTTGGACTGGAGCAGTCGTGGCACGTGACCATGTTTGCATCCATAGCAGTGAATGAAATGGTTGATGGATGCCTGCCACCCAAATTCAACCCCCCCAAACAAAAAGAAAAAGGGCATTGAGATCTTGTCCCACGTCACCAGCAACCACGACGGCCCCATACTGAATACCTGCATTGGATTTTATTTGTCAGTACAAGTCATGTGATCTGGCCCATCCACTAGGATTAAATTAAGTTTATATTTGTAATGTGATCGATGACGATGATGATGGTTGCGTCCATGCATGTTGACTGAAAATGAAAATATGTGGAGGAGATTAGTTTACGAAGCAGGCAAAGTGGATAAGCAAGCGAAGATGAGTGGAGGGTAGCTTCCGTTTCCCGCCAAAGCGGCTGACGTGGCCAACACGCCGACATTTTCCCGCCTAAGTACCTTTTTAGGTCATATCTAAAGCGATGAACGACACGTGTACCGCGCGGACAAGTGTCTGCCATCTGTTGGGTTTTCCATGATGATAGGGATTTTTACGGGGGCCCTTCCTTTCACTCCCCTCCGCCATGAGTTGTTTGTCGCAAGTGCGCGGAAAGTTCTTGTTTGCAGAAACGTTGCTTCCTTTCTCTCCCTTTTTTTTTTTTTTAATTAACAGGTGTCCGCTGTATGATCGTTGATGACGTGGTTCTGAGGCCTTGCTTTGCTTTATCACAACCGACAATTCCGCATTGTAAGCACCAGCACTGTGACTACGATTTAGATGGTAAGTGGAATGGAATATTATCTTTCATCATAATTTTTCAAAGCAACGACAATATTGTATAACATTTATTTTCAAGTATTAATACATCTCAGTCCCCTATGAATTTTATCTTGTTTTTGTTGTAATACGATCTGGTTTATTATATTTTTAATTAAATTTAAATATCAATTTTAATAAAATTAAATCAATATAAATTTTTATTATTATTTTAATCATAATTATAATAAATTTTATTATTTTTTAATCTTATCACAATCAATCTCACTATTTATCAAAATAAAATTTAAATTTTAATAATTTTTGTATAAAAAATTAAGGTTTATTTCTTCGCACATATATAACAACACCAAATGAGATAGATTTTTTTTAATAGTTAAGGTCCTTGATATTTAAATTTTAATATTTTATAATAAATCACATTATTATTAACGATATGATGATCTTTTATTTATAATTTGCTTTAAATTTTCACAAGCAAAATACAATAAATAAAACGTGTTATAATGCTATCTTTCAATAAACAGATAAAAAAAACTATCTTTTTATGAGTGAAATATTGCCTTTTTCCTTTCCCATTCAGACCATCAAGGGCTAATTGCAAGTCAAAACATTTTTAATTTTCTATAAAATACAATTTTCCTTTTATAAAATATTTAGCAATTTAACTAGAAAAAAAAAGGGAATAAAGCAAAGCACAAGTAATATCATTTAACAATATAGAAATAAATCCCCCAAATTTCTGATAATTAAGAAATAAAATCTCAAATTTGATTTGATTATTTAATTCTTCAATTTTATCATTAAATTACAAAAATACCAAGATTTTATGCAAAAATCTATAACAAAAACAGCGAAAAGGTAAAAGCGAAGGAATCCAAGTACGCAACATTGTAATTTGACACATTTCTAGACCCAAATATTACGACAATCCAGCAATATACCGTACACGCCAAGAAAACCCTCCCTCGCCGACTCGCCGGGCTTCATTTTCCAAAAGAAAGCTGCGGACGTCGGACACCAAATGACAGAGTCTTTTTTAGGGAGTATATTAAAATTTTTATTTTCAAATGATTTTTAAATTTTTGTTTTTTCTTAAATCTCTATTATTCCCAATTTGCCTTAGCCCCAGTGTACATGTAGCTGTTAAGGAAAAAAGATAAGATAAGATGATGCCCACTCACACGTCAGTAATTTAGTTAGGTTTGAATGTTATTGTATTTTTAGTATAATAGAGTTAGAATTTATCGTATTATTAATTAATTTTAAATATTAATTTTAATAAAAATTATTTAATATAAAAATTTTTATAAAATTTTTAAAATTAAAATTATAATAATTATTATTATTTTTAATATTGCCGATCTTGCTCTCCATTAAAATAGAAGTGTGACCACTTAAACAATATCATAAAGTTCACGTGACTTAAAATATCTTATGTAGCGAATAAATGAATTGAATGTGTAGGAATAAAGATTTTAATGTAGCACACTCTAGGGGAAAAAAAAAACTCCTCTATCCCCACCCGGAGAACTCAAGCGTCAAATCAACACGCCATCAAAAGGGCCAAACTTAAGGCTCCAAAGTTAATGCGATCGTCGGCTCGAGCGTGGGAGGCAATCGCGAGTGGGAAGTGTTAGTCAAAAGAGATCGGGCTAATTGAAAAACATGCATTGAAACATGATATGTATGACATGGTAAGATTAGTAAGGAGATGATGGTTGCACATAGGGTTGGCATTGGGTCGGGTTCGGGGTGGGTTTTGCTCGCCCCGAATCCGACCCGATTTTATTATCAATAAATTCGAATTCGATTCGATCCGAATTTTTTTAATTTTTTCATATTCGACCCCGATCCGAATCCGATATTATATAATCCGTACCCGATCCGATCCGATTCGAAATTAATAAAAATATTATTTTTAAAATATAAATATTTAAAAATATCATTATATAAATATATATAAATCAATAATTAAAAAATTAATTAAAAATAATTTTTTAAATAATATCAGGTCAGGTAGGATCGGGTATGCCTAAAACCTGACCCTGATTATTTCTTAACATTACTCGACTCGACCCGACCTGAAATCCGAAATTCAAAAAAAAAAAAACTCGATCTAATAAGGTCGGGTAGGATCGAAACCCGTCGGAGTCGGGTTGAATTCTCATCCCTAGTTGCACATGACCGCTCGTTCTCATTTTTCATTTTCATAAATAAATAGGTGATTTAACTTTTTATTATAAATATAAAATTCTGCTTAACGCCTGATTGTTGACTGCTTTGGGAAAAGGTGAATGGTTTTAGATAACGGTATAAATAATATATTAATATTAGTAAGGTAATTTGATTAAAATAAAATTTAAATTTGATTCGATTATAATTAAATCGAGTTTGAAGTTCGGATAGTTTAATTTATCGATCAAATCAAATTCGAATATTTTTATATCTGATTTAATTAGTTCGTGAATCTAATCAAGTTTTTATATTTAATTTTTTTATTATTTTAATTAATAAAATATTTCGAATTCGAGTTTGAACACAAATAATCAAACTTTTATCGAATATAAAAATCGAATTTATTTTAATATATTAATCAAATTTAATCGAACGAATTTAAATAACTCAATTTCGATCACGAATCAAACTCGAATTAAAAAAATAAAATTTAATTAAATTCAAACATCAAATTAAAAATCGAGTTCAAATTTAAACATCTTATTATATCATATCAACTCGATTAGAGTAGAGTCCTAACATTAGAGAAAGAGACCTAAAAAAGAGTAGAATAAAAAATAAAAAAAAATCCGGAGACTGTCCACAGCCACTGGAGAGAAAAAGAGGTAGACCCCAACAGGAAACTAATAGTATTATTTTTATTTATTTCTAATTTTTTTTAGGGAAATGGAAATGCTCTTTTGGATTTTCGATAAATAATTAAAATATTTATTTATGATATTTTTTTTAATAAACTTTCTTCCCTATAAATTTGACTCTATGTTAATATCGTTGGTCTGGCATATTTTGTACACTGTTTTTCACTTTAGTCTCTACCTTGTGCACTATTTTAGCTGATTTTTGTTATGTCATAGAGTTAGATAGAGAAATCAGAGCCATAGATTTGTAATCCTTTTTTCTCCTATTATATCTAGCAGCATCTAAGAGATCTTTGGTTTTGATATCTCTGAGAAGGCAGAGGGGGCCTTTGGTGAGAGTGTTGTTGTTGTTGTGATTCTCTGGTGGTGGCTTTGGTTGCGCTTTCGAAAGTTGAGGCTGATTAGTGGATTTATGTCGGCTGAGTTTGATTTGGCTTTGATTGGGGCTCAGTTGCAGCTCTGGCTTTCATCTTCTTCAATTGTTTGTTATCACTTGTTCACCACTGCTTTGTTGGTTTCTTCTTGCATGATTCTCTGCTTCTGCAGGCAGAGACTGAATCTTGTGTTCCCGACTGTTTCGATGCGTTTGAGATCAAAAAGGTATGTCATCAAACAAACCCTGCCTTTAGATTAAAAACCCTTTATTTATTTCTTATTTTATTTTATTTTATTTTTTAAATCTGAATCCAGTGTTTCCAGTGTTTTGATATCGGTTTTGTTTTGTTATTTTATTTGTAGGACTTGTTCTGGAGTAGAGTGCTTTGGGGGGTTTCACATAAAAGAACGATTTTTCTATCTGTTATTGTTTCTGAGAGGGGCTCATACTTGATACTGCTTTGATAGTCTCAGATTTAGTTCCTTCTTATTTCTCCTTGATTTTGTTTTCATATTTGTCCACAATTTTCCGGGTAGTTTTGAGGGGGGTTTTAGGTGAGTTTACCGGTTTTGCTGCTAAAAATGCCAGAGTCTCGAAAACAATCCATGAATCTAAATAAATCCTGCAAAAAGTCTAAAAAAATCCTATCAATCTTGACTGAAGAAGAAATCCAAATGACTAGAAAAATTCGAGTTATCTTTCATGATCCTTATGCCACCGATTCATCTTCAAGTGAAGATGAATCTGAGAGAACTGTTGCTAGAAAGGCCCCAAGGGGAAAGCGTGTTGTTCGTGAAATTAAAGTTCCTGCTCCGGGTTTGGCTCCTCAGTCAAAACCCCTTGAATCTGAGGGTTCTTCTCAAGACAGTAACTCTAAAACCCCTACTAGCAAGAAAAGGGTTTTGAGTAAAACCCTTGAAGACAAAGCTCTTGTGGCTAAAACCAAAAAACCTGTTGGTGTTCGTCAAAGGAAGTGGGGCAAATGGGCTGCTGAGATCAGGCATCCCCTGAAGAAAACCAGGATTTGGTTGGGAACTTACGACACCCTTGAAGATGCAGCCAAGGCTTATGACGCTAAAAAGCTCGAATTTGAGGCTTTGGCTGTTGCCGCTGCCGCTGTCTCGGCTTCCTCCAATAAAACCAATGACATTTCATGTTCTGCTGCTGCTTCTCACAATAGTAACTCTGTTACTTCTACTTCTGAAGAGTCTCAGAGTCTATTATCACCTACTTCGCCATCATCAGTGCTCGAAATGGATACTTCTGCATCCGTTTCTGTCTCAAACAACAATGATGATTGTGGGGATGCGAACAAAGAAGGATTTGATGCAAACTTCGCCAATTTACCAATGCCTGAAATCTGTTTCATCGATGATCCATTGCTTTCTAGTTCAGTTGCGCAAGAGCTTAACTTAGATGCAGAGCCTGGTGATTATCTGTCCCTCAATGATTTTGGGATGATATCGGGGGATTATTGCAGCATTGAAGATCTCAATATTTGTGGGATCGAAGGCAACGAGCCTAGCGAGCTACCTGATTATGATTTCGGCACTGATGACTTTTTTGGCAAAGAAGTACCCCCCCTCAATATTGCTTGCCCATAAGTTTTGCAGTTAAGAGTTAGTAGTATTAATTTAATATTATAAGCCTTATTGGTTGGAGTCCGAGTAACTGAGTTTTTAATTAATGTTGAAGGTAGAACAGATCTCAGGGACTCTCCAACATGAGTTCTTTTTGTGAGTGACTTTAATTTATTTGTTTGTTGTGTTAAAGAGGAATGAGCCCTCTTCTTCTGGGGGATGAGAAATCCTTTGGGTTTTCCTGTGCTACAGAGCCGTCCAAGGGGTTCAGCTGTATGACAAAAGTGCTTTGATGTGTTGAAGAGTTTCGATAGTCTTTTTTGCTCATCCTCTCATGTTTAAGTTACCATCTATGGAATGAAGTTTTATTTGATATAATTTGCATCCTCGTTGATATATTGTTGTGCTTACTTTAGATGAAGCATTTGATTAATTAATTGACTTGGTCATGGCACATTGGTGAATCTACCCCTTGACTAGTGGTATATATTCTCAGGTCAATTCTATTATTTTCAAATGAGGGTGGGGATCTATGAGTTGGAACTGAAAATTACACAATGCTTTGTTTCCAGGGGAAACGCTGGTGTTGGTTTTGTGTTTTTGCTGCTTATGTGTGGAGAGGGAAGAAGCAAAGTTGGAATATTTCTATCTTTTTTTCTTCTAATCTCAAAACTTCCTTTCATAAAACGTAGAGAAGATTGTACCATAAATGGATGGACCAAAATTGAATCTCTTATGTTGTTTTTCATTTTTCATTACCCTTTTGTCAAGGAAAGCATATCTGCAAATAGGGGGTGAAAATGATGTTCTCTCTACTCGCTACGACCTTTCCTTTCAGACTTAGCTGGATTGCATTTCTTATCCTCTGCACGCTTGTGAGTTTGGTGAACACGCCTTCAATGTCTTCTGTTACAGTGATTCGATTTTGTCTAGAGGTATGTCTGTTTGATAGTAACATTAATGTTCTCATTTTTAAGCTACTTCCATTTTTCCAACGTGATTGATTAATAAATCCTTGATTTTACCACTATATTATTATTAAATGATAAATATCTACCCGATTCGATAAAAGTTAATAAGAATTGCTGTATAGGTATAATCTAGACGATATTTTTGAAGATTGTTATTATCATCTCGCTGTCAGTATGTAGTGATATCAAAATGATTTTTTTTATTTAAATGTCATTTTCATTATGTAAAAATAAAAAATCATGTTAATTTTCAACGATGTATTCGTTGCACATTGTTGCTACTCAGACGGGAATCTGATTGGGACGTGGCGATTAATTATTTAGTGGAATTGATTTGATTTTGCCATAGCGCAGCCACTTGTGGGGTCTGCAAACAGTTTTGAAGTCAAGGTCCCAAATTTCTTACAAATAAAACAAATCATAGATTGAACTTTCTTGTCCTCAAATTTTTAATTTCAACCAATCATAAAAACTCTTTAATCAATCATCGAGAAATATTTGAAGAATAAAATCCGAAATACAGCAAACGTATTATATAAAAAAGTAAAACTAGTTTATTATTTCTTAGATTAATTTGTATATTATTAAAATTAGCAATTAAAAGTTGTGAATTTGAAAGAGTTTAAGTGTATAACATATTTTTTAATAAGATATATAGTAAGATAAGAAAAATATAAGGATAAATTAGAAATTAAAAAAAAAAATAATAATAAATAAAACTAATGGATGCATTAGAAGAGTTCGCCTAGAAGGAAAACATATGCTATTTTGGCTTCAAATGCTTGGTCGGCTTATGGGGGGTTGGTATCGTTAAGATTAATTAATTTGAGGGACCGTAATTGGGCTGACTTTCTTTTTATTGGTTGAATTTGTATTTGAATTTTAGCCATTTAATTATTTTTCTAATGGGAACCAACCCAAATATGTCACGCCAACCCAAAATTGGATACCATATTTGTCTATCTCATGGTGCATATTTATTTTCCCATTTGTTCCCTTCTGTATTTGAATAGTTAAGCCAAAAGGTTTTGTTGATTTGTGTTAAGGATCTGAACAAAGTGAACTTTGGTTAGGGACGACTATAAGTACAATTCAACGTTAAATTCACGTTACTAAATGTTCTAACAATTAGAATTTAAGATTTATATTCAGAGGTCATGAATTTGAATTCCAAAGAAACAAGAATGAAATTTCTATGAAACAAAAAAAAAAAAAATTTTATGTGCATTTAAACTCAAATTTTAATTTAGTTAATTTAAGTAATTATCTTTAATAAATAATATTTAATATATTTAAAATTTAAAATTTTTTTATTAAAAAAATTCACTTATATACGAGCATCCTTAGGTATTTTTGCCTTGGGGAAAGAACTGCATTTCTTGCAAAACAAGTGGTGTTAACAGTGTTTGAAAAAATAAGGTGACTTAGAAATCCATGTCTTGGAGACTTATTGTTTGTCCTATTTAGACCTAATTTCTACCTCATTTCAATTATATATTAGTTTAAAGTGATTTAATTTCTATTAATAATATATAAGAAAAGCGATAAATGACTTAAAAGTGAAGTTACTTGGATTAAACATTTAATAAAAAAAAATTAAACTCAGTTGATTGCTATAGTGATTGTTGATTATATCTGTTAATAATTAGCTAACTGATAATAATAATTTTAGTCACAAAAAGATTATATTGCTTGATTAGCTTGTAAGCAATGCCACGTGGGGCCCATCATTTTTGCACGCCTTAGGATGCCTCCACCATCATTAACAGAGCTTGCCATAGATCCTTTTTTTTTTTTTTTTTTTCTAAAAAATAGTTTTTGTTTGTCAGCAAGGGGATTTGGATCTTTTCCCTTTCCAATTATAAACTATATTTCTAGAATATTTTAATTAACAAATAAATTACTAATTTTTATTTTTATACTTTTATTCATGTTACATAAAATGACTATAATTATTGGATAAGTAGAGTTTTATACTATGTAGGTTAGGGAAATTTTTTTTAATTTTTATTTACCTTTAACCTTCAAAATTTTTTGTATAACATGTTAAGAGTTGGTGAAATAAGGTTTTTTTTAACATGAAAAATTGGAGCAGATTTTCAAAGGCCCAACCAAGAAACAAAGTAAGATCTAATTGTATTTTTTTGAAATGAAGACCAAATTGGTTTGGTCATACATGTACTAACTCTGAGTCCAAACCCAAGCAAACCCTTTTGTAGATGAAGGGAACCTGAACCATGGGCCAATTGGGGCATGAGTAATAAGCCCAAAAGCTTATGACTAGGCCAGAATAGAGAGCCCCAGCTCCGGGACATCAATGGTTTTCACATTCTTTTTTACACTCTTTGCAGTCATTATGTTCTAATTCTTGAGAGTAAATGCATGTCAATACAGAAAAGTTAAAAGAGCTAAAATTCATTAGAATCGAGTTTATAATGTTGCTGGTGAGTATTCTACTCAATTGAGACATGCTCTTTTCATTTTACATAAGTTATATTCCTATTTTTATGATATCACAATCTCATATCGAAATAATTTGAAGCTTTGTTATAATATATATGTAGAGATTTAAATTTAAATTTGTGAGTCACTTTTTGTTAGATAAAATTATAAGACTTTCAGCTCAAAATAAATAATATCTTGTAGATTAGGTACTCAAAGTAATTACCAGTCAAATTAGAGTTAAATGCTACGTTGTGGGAATCACTTCTAGAATCATACGGAAGTTAAGTGTTACACGATAAAAATTACTTCTAAAATTTTAATATCTGGTGTGATTCTATAACTTGTGTATAGGTTGTGTTGAGCTTATCTAATATTTGGTGTGATTCGATAAATCTGTATACTTTGTGTGTCAAGCTTTAACGGAGAGAGTTCGTAATACTACAATTTCACATAGAAATAATCTGAAGTTTGACTATGATATATATATATATATAATTTAAACTTAAATTTACAATACTTTTATTTAAATAAAATCATAAAACTTTCGAATCAAAATAAATAATAACTTGTAAATTGAAGGTAAGTGTCCACAATTTCTTTACCAAATTTGGAAGGAAATTTTCACAATAAGAATATGATACTAAAATCATTTTATTGTTTGAACTTTTAAATCAACACTTGTTTTATCCTAAAATCGAGTATAAACATTGAACAAGTTAAGACATGACAAAATGTCTTGTCTTAATTGACCAAAAAAATTACAATCAATTATAAAGCTTTATCTCATTGGGTAAACGCATGTGTTGTTGGGAAATTAAGGCTCTCAGGCATGCAGAACGATTTATACCCATGAAAATTAAGTCTGGGTTCTTTTAATCTGATCAAGTTATACATATGAAACAAGTGAAGAAACTTCATTGTGAAAGTGGCTTGAAGTGACTGTATTAGTCGAATATATATGTGAAAAGCACAAAGGAGAGCCCTCCAAGCAAAAAACAACCGAATATAAATCTAGAAAAATTAGTCAAATTAGGCCACAAGCCTACCCCAAGGCCCTTCTAGATGTAATTGCAAACTAGGAAAGAGTACCTTGAAATGTTTTGGGGGAGTAATTAAGGTTCATTCATATATATATATATATATATATATATAACCTTAAATGCGCAAAGAAAAAAAAAGAATATCAAGGGCTATGATTTATGTAGATGCTGCATACCTTCCTAGCTTTAATATTAGATGGGATGGGAAACAGAAAAATTATTTGGATTAAAATTTCTATAGATATGTCAAAGGTTACGACCCACGAGTGAACAGCGAGTAGCAGAGCCGTGTTGTCGACAATGCATGTGACGAGCAATTGGGGGTGGCTATATACCTCACGAGTGAGATAGAGTAGACTTTCTTCCCTAGTTTCTATGCACAATTCATGCATTGAAAAACTTTATTCAATTGCAACTCCTGTCAGGCATATAATTTATTGCACTATGTATGCCGCCCTTTTACCTTTCTCTTCTGCACCAAAATATCTTCTTCCACATTCCATTCCTTTTGACTTGTTTGGCAAAAGTTTTGCTGTCTCACCCAGGATACTTCGTCTATGTCATGTTATGTGTAACAGTACTGCATGTGCTTCTATCCATGTATAAGTAGACAGTGATTGTGCCAACACTCACAATTAATGCTGAAAATATTCAAATGAGCAACTTCTGGCCATAACTTCCATGTTGCAATGCTATGTCATTTGTCTGATCAAACTTCTGTTATTGAAAGGACCTTGACAAATTGCTTAAAGAAATGAACAAATTTGTGGTGATCATGTGCATCGAATAAACTCATCAGTCGTCAGGATTTTGATGAAAGCTCTTCGAGTATAAAAACAATTGCAGTCTGATCATACGAAACATGTTGAGACACAACTTCAGTGGTGGGCATAATTCTGTCTTTTATCAACAGTCACTTCTGACATCGTATATATTCATTAAGGTGTCATCCTCTCATTGGATGCAAGTTGACCAATTACGATCAAAATCTTTGGTAGTCGAGGGGGAAGGCCCATGGTCGAATCACCAATTTGTGTGTTATACAAATTAGGCTTTGAAAACTAAGTTTTGGGTGAAACGAGGATAAACATAATTTTTGTCAAGGACCAAGTTTCTCCTCATGTTACAATTGGTGGCGATAATCTTTCAAAGTCCTGTCATAATCTAAAGGGAATGTGTAAACGTTCTTATGATGCTTATGCAACTTGCATTTTCTAGCTGGTTTTGGGTGATCAATCTTAATTAAATTTGTGAGACTGAAATGCTTCTTTTACCAATTTGATTATAGCTGTCAGCTAGCACAGATTCTGCAGAAAGAATGTGGCTTAGAGTTCAGCTTTAAATTAATTTAACTGCCTATATGCTTGATCAGGTGAAGTATGTTGCTGTTCTCCAGAGATTTTTCAACTTGCCTTCCAAGGAAAATGACTTGCTTCGACCAAGTTTTACTACGTGAAAAACTATGTAGTAGGATATTCGAAAAGATTTAGCTAGCTATTTCCATTGACTTTTAAATTGAACTTATATATATATATATATATATATATACATATATTACTGTAAGATCAAGCAAGAACTGCTTGATTTAGTACTCAACCAATTTGTATAAAAACCTTATCATATCTTCATATATATATATATATATATGTAAAAATTATTACACAAAAATAAGGTCATTGCTAGAGCCGATAGAGATAAGGAGCCAATAAGAAAAAAGAAATCCTCATGTAAAGCAGTCAGCAAATTGTAAGCTTTCAACCCCTCCAACCAAGAATTTTTCTTCCAAGGTCCTATATAGCTTAATTTAGAAGATCACCGTCCATGGTCGTAGTACTAGCCAGGCTAAGTGGATGATGGTGGGTATTTCCTTAATTAAAAAAGCTATAATTTGACTCACTTTCCATCCTCCATACATAAGCATTCCTTTACGATTAAAACTCTCTTTCAAAAAAAAAAAAAAAGGCTTCTTTTAACCAGTCTTTGCAAATTGCAACTGGGATTCCATTCATTTGTGTAAATATTGATTTTGGGTTTGGGAAATAGCACTCATGTGTTATCAGACGGCCACAAATGTATTTGTATAAAGCTTAAGCTGCTATGTATTCATGTCATCGTCATCGCTTAATAAATTCCTGAACTGAAAGTGAAGGCCTAAGCTTAAAGATCGTGTGTACGCGGATTAAAGAATCAATTCTTTGTCTTAATTATATTTTAATCAACAATTTTATAACAATGGAAGGATTTGATACTTCCCTCCTAATCTTCATCTCCTCCTTATTGGCAAATATATGTTGGGAATAATAACTCATATCCTATACTAGATTTTTTTGAGATTAATTAGATATTGTTTGATGGATAAAAAAATTCGTAAAAAAAGAATTCTATAAGAAAATAAATTTTTAATAGACAAAAATTACTTACAAAAAAAAAATTCTAAAAGAAAATAAATTTTTAATAGATAAGTTTGTATAGTTATAAATAGATGAAGTCTCTACAGAATTAGGTATGAGAAAAAGATGTACGAGAGTAGTAGGGTTTTATGTGATAGACATCTCATAATATTACTGAAGATTTACGTCTTATGAATATGTATGTTTATATGTTTGTGAGTGAGTTAGAGGAGATTGAAATGATTCACATGATACGATGTATTGGTGCATATAAATATGTATTTGTTTGTGTTAAATGAGTGTACATGATATGTGTTTGTTTATGTTGAAAATATTCCATAAGATTATAAAAGATTGAGAGGATTAATGGGTATATTTGTATGTTTGTGAGTAAGCTAGAGGATATTGAGAGAATTCACATAAATATAATGTATGAGTGCATATGAGTATGTATTTATATGTGTTAAAATGGTGCATATAGGTATATGTTTAATTGTTAAGTGGTTAATATAATTTGATATATGTTTGTAATTCTCTACAACTAATGGATCTTGTATCTCATTTGTGGATGTAAAATCACGTTAAATTATTATTTGTTTGTGTATTTGATTGATTATTTGATTATGCTTTCGTTGGCTTGATTAAGTTGGGGCCTTTTTGCCTGACAATATATATTAGAGGAGATTGAAAAAGTTTACAAGTATTAATTGTTGAATAATTGATATGATTTGATGTATGTTTATAATTCTTCACAACTAGTAAATCTTATATCTCATCTATAAACGTAAGTCGATTGAATCAAACCACATTAAATTGTTATCTCTTATATATTTAATTGATTGTTTGATTATACTTTCGCTAATTTAATTGGGTTAGAGCCTTTTTGACCAACAATATATTCATCTTTAATCTTTTATTATAACCTAGTTATAAGTACCTAACTTTTTTTTTATTTCTACCTCACTATGTTTTCTTGTGGAGTAATGTCGACTTCGAATGAATGAAAAAATAAAATTCAATATGAAACTGTAAAAGAAAAAAGAAAAAAGAAAAAGTAAAATTCTCGTTAGAATATGAAACTGTAAAAGGAAAAAGAAAAAGAAGAATTCTAGTAATGCAAAAGGTTTCCAAGGGGATTAATCCAAGTCATTTTCTAAAGAGTCTAGACCATTCTCTCCAAGTTGAACGCAATGCCCTTCCTTCTCCGCTCTTTAAATACCCTCCACCAGTCATCATCCTGCTTTGCTAATCAAAGTTTCTTCTCAACTGAGATCCAATACAACTTATACCCAAGTTGATCGAGAGTGAGAAAAAGAGAGAAAGAGAAATGGTGGGTTCCCCTTTTCTCTTTTTATGTTGCCCTCTCACTCGCTCTTTGTTCTTGCTTTGCTTCATTCAAACAACAGACAAGAAACCTGTATTGCTTTCCTGTTTACTAACTCCTCTTGTCTTGAGTTTTTGCCACAGGAAGGAGGGAACCAGGATACCAGATGGGAAGGCTACGCGGATTGGAGGAATAGACCTGCTTTAAGAGGCCGACACGGTGGCATGCTTGCAGCCTCCTTTGTCTTGGGTTAGTAACCTATCAACCAAATTCTCCAAAGCCCACCCTTTCCATTTTGCTTTTCGGTTTTGACACAATTCAAGAGTCAGCTTGCGCGGGCTACTTTATTTTTCCTTTCACTCTCTGATATGCTTTAATGATAAATTTGTTTGTAGTTGTGGAAGTGTTGGAGAACCTGGCGTACCTGGCAAATGCCAGCAACCTGGTGCTGTACCTGTCAAAGCACATGCACTTATCTCCATCCAAATCGGCAAACAATGTCACTAATTTCATGGGGACTGCCTTCCTTCTGGCATTGCTTGGAGGCTGCTTATCTGACGCTTTCTTCACTACTTATCACATCTACTTGATAAGCGCACTCATCGAATTTCTGGTATTAAGTCACTCTAAATTCCCACTCCATCAACTACTTTGAAATTGTGAAATTTTTGTTTCATTGATGCATTTGATCCAAGGTATAGACTTTGCATGAAAGATCAGTTCTTTAAAAGAAGAACAAAAACATATAAAACAAAAACACACGGGCAAAAATATGAGTGATGGAAGCATTAAAGGTTGGGCTCCCTGAGACTTTGGTACGTAGATCCAAAGAAACACCCAATATGAAAAAGATTTATATGAAATTTTATAGCCGAAGTTCATGAATATTTTTATGAAAAATGAGTAAATAAAATTAAAAATTAAAATTGATAAATTAAAAAACTCATCATATAGATTAATTATGTAAATTTAAAAAAAAATTTAATAAATTGTGATATATTTATTAAATAAATATTTTTAATAAAAATATTAATAAAATTTTTATCGTTAAATAAGTATTGATTAAAATTGAATTATAAATAATATTTTTTATTTTTTATATTAAATTATATCAATTTATCAATTTAAATTTTATATTAAAAATTTTATTTATTTATTTTTAATAAAAAACCTTACGAATTTCACTTATAAAAACTTTATATAAATTTTATCTACCATCTGATTAGGTACAACTATCTGAGACCTTGTGATAAATGCCACATAATCAAAACTCGAATATATAATTCTAAGAAAAAAAAAAAGGTCTATTTCAATCGTTCATCACATAACAAAACTTACAAGAACATTTGATTATGTTAGTTAGGCTTTGAAATGATCATATTCCTTCAAAGAATTACCCGACGCCTTTTCCATTTATCTTTTTGTGAAAAAAAACAAGCATCAAATTTTATGTCCAATTACATTGCGAAAAGGCACATAAAAGATAAAATTCAGACGTGGGGCGAGTGGGTCCCTGAGTAGGCCGTTGTTGGGTCCCTTGTACACCAGTCATGGCACGGATCCAATCAAAGCCCATGCCTTAGGGGAGGGGACCCGTTTAAAGCTTCTGTGTCGTGTTTTCGACAAAGGAAACACCCTTTTCTCAGTTTTAGCAAGGTAGCAACATCGACCTTAGTCTTGTTGCTTTAAAATATTGTCTCTGTGGTAAGAACTTTAGCTCGAAACGTGCCATCTGAAAGTCAAATCGTTGCAGCTTTGGCTGCTGCTGGAGGACACGTTTGTCCCACAAGCTCGTATGGCCTACGTCTAAAATACGGTAATTTTGATCAACCAATGACTGTACAGTAAGTGTGGGGAAAATAGGCGAAGAAGAAGAAGAACATCCAGGAAAAATCATATCCATTTATACCAACATTTTTCTTTGTTCAAATGGGATTTTCATCCAAAAGTACAAATTGATAAAACCATAAAAAAGGAATATATTTGCTCATTTTCTGCAGTTCATGAACCATGTGTGCGGCTACTGGTATCGAAGTGAGAAGCATGCGGTCCATGCCCACATGCACCATTTCATTTTATAAAGCCAAGTAGCCAACAACCAGCTTCTTTACAATGACATTTCATTGAAATTTTGACAGTGCAGTCCAGAATCTTTTGTGTGGCTATTGGCTAACACGAGGTTAAGGGACACTCTTTGTTGAGTTCTTGAATATTCAAGTCAGTCAAGTCAGCCCAATATGTTGCACTTATCCTTTAGCATTGCTGCAGCTTTTGGTTTTGGATGTGGAAATAGGATAGGGAAACTGGCGAATAGGTTTGGTCCATGACTGAACTCTTCTAACCTATCTACTAAGGCCTTCAGTTTTGAGTTTTTATTGAGTGTTTTATACGGTCAATTCACACTTACACTAGAGGCTAGAGCCAAAGTAGGGTGTTTTCATTTTTTTCCCAATGTATGAGCGATGGCCTATGAATAAAAAATTGCCCACTTTTTTGGTACCTAGAATTGCCCTTCTCATGATAAAACTGGAAGTTGGATTCAAGTTCAAACAATTAAACTAGTTACTGCATTGGTGAACTTAAAGTCATTGTTATGTTTGAAAAATACTTGAAAACAGGTTTACCATGTTGAAAAGGGAAATTCAATGGAAACATCAATTCTTCTTATGAATGACTTGAACTCATCTTGGTCTAGCCAGGTACTCGTAAAGATTTACAGACAACAAATTAGAAATGCTGGATACTGATCCTGAAAGTTATTCAAATTCATAGATGGCGACTGGCGTAGCAAACATTTTATGGTTTATTAATTATATATAGCGTACTTGCTAATTATACTTGCCTAACAAATTCTGGCCATTGGAACAGGGCTTGATCATTCTTGCCATGCAAGCTCGGACGCCTTCCCTAAAGCCTCCAGAATGCAATCCGTCCACCCCCTCCAATCCATGCCAAGAAGTTGGTGGTGGGAAAGCAGCTATGCTTTTCATAGGCCTTTATCTTGTGGCACTTGGTGTTGGAGGGATAAAGGGGTCTTTACCAACACATGGCGCTGAGCAGTTTGATGAGAGTACCCCACAGGGAAGGAAGCAAAGATCGACCTTCTTCAATTACTTTATCTTCTGTCTCTCATGTGGTGCGCTTATTGCCGTAACATTTGTTGTGTGGATTGAAGATAATAAGGGATGGGAGTGGGGTTTTGCCATCTCCACAGTTGCAATATTGTTGTCAATCCCAATCTTCCTCGTTGGCTCAACATTTTACAGGAACAAAATACCCTTTGGCAGCCCACTTAAAACCATTAGCAAGGTAAACTTAGGATGCTAAAGAAAATTCATTCCAATAAGCACCGGGACAAGCCTGCTTTTAGACACTCTACCTTGATTCCTTTCATGAAAAGAAGAAATAAGTAATTGTTTTACTTCAACAGGTTTTGGTTGCTGCTATGCTGAATAGTTGCATGAGCAGAAGTCCACGCAATGCAATTGCTTACCTGGCCGCAAGCCCTTATTATCCAACTGAAACCAGCAAGGAAGCAGAAGACAATGCGAAACAAAGTAAGCAGCCGGATCAAATCCCAACTGAAAGCCTCAAATTTCTAAACAGAGCGGTGGTGAACAAGCCAGCTAACCCAGCATTTGAATGCTCCTTGCAGCAAGTAGAGGAAGTCAAGATTGTGCTAAAAATCCTTCCCATATTTGCTTGCACCATTGTTATCAACTGCTGCCTAGCTCAGCTCTCCACATTTTCCGTTGAACAAGCTGCTACTATGAACAGTAAGCTTGGTTCATTGAAAATCCCACCGGCATCCCTGCCAGTTTTTCCTGTGGTCTTCATCATGATCCTAGCCCCAGTTTACGATCACTTCATTATCCCATTTGCTCGGAAAGTAACAAAAACCGAGATGGGAATCACTCATTTGCAACGAATTGGAATTGGTTTATTTCTTTCCATTATAGCCATGGCAGTGGCAGCTCTTGTTGAAATTAAGCGAAAGAGAGTGGCAACTGACTCAGGGCTGCTTGACTCTACCAATCCATTACCCATTACATTTTTTTGGATTGCTTTGCAGTACTTGTTCCTGGGGTCAGCGGATCTTTTCACCTTGACAGGGTTACTAGAATTTTTCTTCACTGAGGCGCCCTCAAGCATGAGATCGTTGGCTACATCTCTTTCCTGGGCTTCCCTGGCAATGGGGTATTATTTAAGCTCGGTAATTGTATCAATAGTAAATAACCTGACTGATAACTCAGGGCACAAGCCATGGCTCTCTGGTCATACAATAAATCATTACCATCTGGAGAGATTCTACTGGCTTATGTGCGTTCTTAGCGCATTAAATTTCTTGCATTACCTTTTCCGTGCCATGCGCTACAAATACAGATCAGCAGGACCTACCAAGTAAAACAACCAGGGGCAAGTCTGCGGTTGATTTGTTCTGCTCAAGCAATTGGCTTGATTAAGTTAAATGTCGCATCTCGGTAGAGAAAGAATTCAGACCAATGCTGCAATACAAACTTCAGCCCGATGCTATCCAATTGCCAATTACATAAAAGCCAGACTCAGTACTTATCAAATATTGTTGTTAAGCCAGTAAATAGGCTACTATTTCAAATCAGTGATGGCTATCGCATCTGATATTTTTGCTTACTAGATATTTAGCTTTCCCTGTTGAGCCTTGCGTTTGCTGCTCTTTGTTTAGCCTGTTTGGTTAGTTTTATTCTCGATTCTGGTTTGTCTTTAGCTTCCTTTATACCAGCCTTGGCTGTTAATAAACTTGATCATTTAGTTAGGGATTAATTGATTGAACCATTAACCACTTCAACTGTTAATGGAGTCAGCAGCTAACGGGCCAACAGGAAAAAATATTCAATGATTTTTAATGTAAGAAAAATAAAAATTAAAAGCATAAAGATATCATTAAAAGAATCATGTAATGTAATACTTTTAGTTTTAATAATTAAAATTTAAATGCTTACAATTTGGGATAAAAATGTGCTCCTAGCCAAATTATAATTTGTTTTATACTATAATTCATAAAAAAAAAAAAAGAAGGCTCAAATTTGAGCTGCTTAAGAAGCTTATTGACCTGATTGTGCTATCAATGTGGTAATACTTCTATTTTAATCTTTTTTCCTAAAAGAAAATCATTATGTAAGAAAAGAAAAAAAAAACAATTATCTAAGCAAGTTGTACAGTCTAAAAATCACATCACCTTCACCCAAACGGCGTGACTAGGAATCCCAGAGTGGACCACGAACAGCATATAATAACCCGGAGGTGCCACGTTAGCATTGGTGGGTCCATCCACCACCAGTTTGTAATCAACCATCGTCGTTTGAACCACGCTCGCCGTATTCAAAACGACCATGCGTTGGTTCATCCCGATCGAGTGCGTCGTAAACGATGGCGATATCAGCGCCACGAACGCCGCCCCCCACTTGTAAAGCGACAGCGAAAAGGAAACCCCGAATCTCTGCCCGTACGACACCGTATATCCCGACTCCACAGATAAAATGAAGGGCCTCAACGAGTTGAATTTAGGATCCAAGTAGTACGGGTTATAAGCCTCCAAACTCAGATCGGTCGGGTAAATTCCAGTGAATACATACCTAGTATGCGGATTGCTCCCACCCACTAATATCCTGCCATCTGGCAGAAGGAATGCTACGGAGTGGTACATTCTCGGGATGTTTGACGGCGACAAAACCGTAAATCTCCGAAATGGATTCTCGTTAACCAAATAAAGAATCGGGTTCAGAACCGGGTTTACGGCATCCTCCCAACCAGCAGTCCCATTAGCCGCGCCATTGATAATGATCACATCACCCGTAGGTAACAGTATCATGTCCGACATGACACGTGGCATGGGCATGAACTCCATGAGCCATTGTGGATTAGGGTCGTTCACTCTCAGCCTGCCGCACGTCCTCGATGCTTCCATAAAAACCTTCATCTTATCCGCCTTCAAGAAAGCCCCCGCAGGTGCACCGCCGCACACTAGCACCTCCACCACCGGAGGTCCTGCCCAAGACAGCTTCAAAGGAAGCATGACGGAAGAGCCGGTGCTGGGATAGTTTCGTTTATCATCTCCGGGAATCAGAGGGAACTGTTTTAGAACAATGCTTCTTTTATAATCAAACAAGATTGACTTTTTGTTAGCGAAAATGAAGAGATTTCCATCTGGTAATAAATGCAAGAAAGGATAAAGGTTGTTCTCTTCAGGGTCCTTAGTTTCAACCAAGAAACGAAGGTAAAAACTCTTGTTGTTGAGGAAGTCATCTTTAGGGTAAAACTCGTAGGTAAAAACCCTTCTACCTCCAAGAATAATGACTCTTCCGTCTGGTAAAACTTGGTTAGTAGCGTACCATCGACGGTCGGTAAGGCGAGTAGTGGTGAGTTCGTACCAGTCGCAGGCATAAGTGTCGCATGGGGTGAACGTGCGGATCACGTGATCGCCTTCATTGTATCCGCCGGTTTGGATAAGGGTACCGTTCGGGTCGAGGGAACCGGAGGAGCACCAGGTGTCCGTTAAGACGTGGAGGGGACTGAAAGTGTTGGAAACGACGTCGTAGATGACGGAGTGGGCAGTGCAGTCGTTTTTAGGACAGAAGCTGCCGACAGGTAAAGAGAGGTTGGAAGGGCCGACGTCAGTACGGTCAAAGATGATAACTTTGTTGTTTGGTAGGAGTTGTACGTGCATGGCGGAAATACCTACGCTTGATTGTAGGAGCTGCCAGTAACCTCCTGATACTATCGACGAAGCTGAAGTTGGGGTGACGAAAACTGAGGGGTTAGCTTTAGTTAGCTCCAAGAATGAGGAAAGAAAGTATAAAGAGAAGAAGATGATGAGAAAAGATTGGTTCTTGAATGTCATTTGAGCTGGTTCTTGATGGAGTAGATCAGCTGGAACAGGATAGAGGATAGGATTTAACTGGGTATTGGTTGGTGTAGATGGTTTAAATTTTTGGTGATTTTATTACTACTACAAGTAAAGGTATTTTAGTAGGGAACAACAGATTGCAACATGTGATGCTGAGTTATAAAAATTAGTACTTTAGTAGAAAATTTGATGAAATGAGAAAAGGAAAGATTAAAAAGGACATGATGTGCATGCTGCTAACAATGTTGGGAGGAGATTTATATGAGATTCTGAAGCATATATGGGTTGGATTCATAGTGCAACTGGCAGTGTGAGATGGTAATGGTTGAGGAGTGTGGACTTTGTTGTCTCCAGAAAAAGACGCTTTTGGTTTTTCCTTTGAAGAAAGGAAAATGGAATGGAAGATACTAGCAGATTGCAAAATTACGATTTGATAATTATGGGTGGAAATTATTATTCTAGAGGGCCAAGTTTGCTCGTGAATATCTTTGTCGGATCAGCGGGGGTTCAATTCGCGGCACTGTTGCTGTTGCTTGGGAAGCTGACATGGTTAGCCAGGCTGGCCAAATCTTGATTTGTAGCTCACAAGTTGCTAATGGGCCCCAATGCACTTGTACTTTTGTGCAGCGTAGTGTTGGCTAAGGCGACCAATTAACCTATGTTTCTTTCACATGACCATGTCAGTTTCTTCTTTATAATTTTTGGGGAAGAAAAATTTGAGCTTCAACCCTTGTTACAGATTCAGACTTCAGAGTCAAGGTTCAGGCAGGCGTTCAGCTGTCAAAGTCATTTGTATATATGTTTACCGCAGATCATTTATCATAACAAATTGACTTGCTAATTCAAGACTGACGTTTAACCAATTGAAGATCCTCTCCCCTTTAACTCATTGAAACATTTTTTTTAATATGAACAATGTTATATAACAGTGAACCTCTGCAACAATCTCATTTTGATTATTCCTTTTCCTTCTCTAAATTTAGCGTTTTCTCCCTTTTAGATTTTGTCATTTCGGCTACTAGATGAGATTAGAAATGGTAGTCTCTGCTATAATGAGATTACAAGTGTGAGGTTGGATTCAAGAGTTGGTGAGTGGTACACAACGGCTGCATGGAATAAAGTAGGGATGTAAATAATATATTAGTATTCCTAAGTTATTTGGATTCGATTATTATCGAATTAAACTTAAATTCGAATAGTTTGATTTATTAATCGAATCAAATTCGAGCATTTTTATATTCGATTCGAATAATTTATGAATCTAATCAAATTTTTATATTTTAATATATTTTAATTATTTTAATTAATAAAATATTCAAACTTGAATTTAAATTTGAATACAAATAATTAAAGTTTTATTCAATATAAGAATCAAATTTATTTTTATATATTAATTGAACTTAATTAAATGAATTCGAGTAATTTAATTTTTATTTAAAATTAAATTTTAACTAAAAATATAAAATTTAATCAAATTTATACTAAATTTCGAATATCAAATTTAGAATTGAACTCAAATTTGATTAATTACACTGGAATAGAGAAGTCATCAATGACTTTGAGGAGGCCTGCAGGCCCAACACCCGTTGATTAACTCCTCACTGCAACCTTCACTGCACCAACAGCGCTAAGTTGCCTCATCTCAGGTCTCGGCCGACGTCTATCCTGGTTTGAAAGATTTTCGAGACACCATTTTTTTGGCATCGATAAATCTACGAGATTTATTAATTTGAGTTTAATTTCTGAATTAAAAGTATTTGATTCAAAAATTTTAATAATATTAAAATCTATCGATTTGATAAAAATATTAATAAAAATATTAGTAGTATTGATAAATTCATAAATCGTTGATCAGTTAATTGAAAGATCATGTGATGTCGATTTGAAATCAGAATTGAGTATTTTGATTCGAAGACATAAACATATAATGGAAGATGAGAATGTTTCAACCATGTAAATCCAATAAGAATAATGGAAGATGAGGATATTGCATCAATTATTACCACGGAAACAAAGAGTGAAACATCAATTAAGCAGAGCAGATATTGGATAACAACCAGTTCCAATTCGATTAGATATTTGAAAGAAAACTATGAATTGGATTTTGATAAAAAGGCAGTAAGCACCCTTGTTAAACTGCTATTGATGAACATATTTTCACACTAAATGTACAGTTGATAGCAAATATACTAGTATTAAAAGCACATCGAATGAAAATTTTTTTCATAGCAGCTCCTTAGTGCACTAGTTACTTAGTTTAACCCAAATACTAAAGCTATGTTACATTTAATTAGTTCTAAAGCTCATAAACAACCAAAACCTTACTTGCATCAAATGTTTGAACAACTGCAACTGATCAATCAATAATGGCTACACACAAAAAACATATCTAAGAAAACGAGCCTTTACTACCCGATTCCAAGGACAATACACGACTCAGTTCCATCAAAGAATCGGAACCCACTTCCTTCCTACATGATCCGAACACAATCTCATTCAAACCCGACCCATCCTCACTCAAACTCACCCCTCCATTCCTCCTCTGTTTGCTCGTAATCGGGACCTGAACCGCCACGAAATGAATCACCCACCCCATCTTCTTTCCCAAAAACGAGACTCATATGAAACATCATCCAAAACGGTGTCCCATTTTTACGGTAATTAAAGAAAATCGACCTGAGTACCCCTCTCTTCTCGAATGGCTACCCTTATTTCCATCACTGTTCTTCGATTAGTTTTCGGACCCTGAAATTTCTTGCCATTTTGCCCGATCACTTCTTCTTGGGAATAGCCCGACATCTTTAAGAAGCCCCGGCTCGAGAAAACGATAGGGTGGCCTGAAATTGAAGGATCCGTGATGGTGAAACTGTCGGGTAATTCGTCGAGAGCTTCACGAATCCATTGGGAGTAACGGCAGTAGAAGGATTGTTGGATTAAATCCATTTTTGTTGCTGTTGTTGTTTTTTGAGGCCTTTGATTCTGGTTTTCCTATTGGAACCAATCCCATGTTGGAGAATCTTACTACTGATACTCTTATAAAGCAAAGAGATTGGAAACCACGGAACAATATGCTGCAGTCAAAAAGGAAGTAGAACACAAATACTACCGTTGATCTGTCTTTCTTTTTATTATTTTTACTTTCAATAAATTGAAATGCCATTTTTTTTATAATAAAAAAGAGAAGATGCTCTAGCTGTCGAATATAGTATATGATTTTTTGCTTTTATGTTTAATATAAAAAATAAGTAAACAAAGATTTATATGTAAAACATTTTGAATTTGTCACTTAAACTTAGTTCGAGTAATAATAAAGATGAAGTAGAAGTTTGATAAAAATCTTCTGGTTATAGTGCTTTTTTTATATATTATTATTATTATTATTCTAAGCAAATAAATTTGGTGAATAATAAGTAATATATATTTGAAAATAATATTGATTTTTTTACCAATTTTAAATATATATTTTTTATATCAGCATAATATATTTAATAATTTTATGATTGACCTCAATTATATTAATTATATTCGAATTGTTGAATAATTATAATAGATGATAACATTATTATTTTCAGTATTAATCCAAAATCATACATAAAATTTTAAATTCATATGACTCCTCATGGATCATAAATAAATTTAAAGCATAAATTAATATTATTCCTCGTTATATAGTTATAGAACATATAAAAAAATGAATTGAAAAATCCAAAATTATACCCAAATTTATTTTTATTTATTTAATTCATCATAAAATGTATTCTCAATATCATTTTTACCATAAATTTTCTGCTACACTAGGCTGCCAATAGAGTTTTGACAAGTGTTTCACAGTAGGCTCATTTTGTCTTCCAAGTTGATGACAAAAACGAGGCTTCATGTCGTGTAATTACTACAATGGAATGATAGGTGGCCAATGAATGTTAAAGTTTTCGGATAATTACAACTCAGACCATCGCTCTTTCTACGCATCCCTGCTTTCCCACGTGTCCCATGATTGAGTCGCCAACTCGTAATCTAGTACTCACACTGTACTGCCTATTGACATAAAATAGCCCCCCACGTGTATTTTTTTCAAATGCAATTTTTATTTTTTCACCAACATTTTAAACTTTAAATGATTTTTAATTCTATAAAATCAAAGAAATTCTATGTCATCACTTCATTTGTCAATTGGCGTGAGGTGTTATTTAAATAATGTTTTTATATATAAGATGATAGATAAAATAAGATTATATTATATTATATTTCATTTATATTTTAAAAAATAAAATTATAAAAAAATTAATTTTTTTATATGATGATTTGATTCTTTCAAAATGAATGATATTATTTTTAATTTATAAAATTAAAGTTAAATACTTATTATACTCTTAAAAATTATATAAATAATTTAAATTGTATAAATTTTTAAAAATAATAATTTAAATTAATAAATAAATTATCTTATCATAATATTTACAAATATTAAATATAAAATAAAATAAAATAATTTAATTTAATTTATATATTTTTTATTTTATCTTATTATAATTTTATATATCAAATATATTAATATCGAAAATAATGCTGAGCATGAAAAGACCTAGACATAATGGCTTTTAAAGAGTAAAATCTAACGATTGATTTTTGAAAATATAAAGGCCTAAATGCTTTACGTTCTACTTAAGAACCTCTACTGTTATTTATTTTCTTTTATGCTTGTAGCCTTGCTCATATCGATGTGCTAGAGAGGGAAAGTAAAAATAAAATATAAATATAAGAAAAAAATTGAGACAAAAAAAGAAAAGACAAGAAGAACAGGAAAAAAAAAGGGGTTTAGTGTTTAAAATAATAAATTTTACATATCTTTATTTACAACAATGTTGGTATCTTTTTCCCAATATTTTTATAGAGAACTGAACAATGAAAATTGAAAGGATTGGGTAAAATAAATATTATGATAATAATATACAAAAAGAAAATTACAAGGATTGGGCTGCAAACGCACCGTTTTGTTTGGGCTCCAGCAAACTAAAGTAAACAGCCAAGATGTAATGGGCTCATGAAAACTGCTCTCAGACTAAACGCTGTGGGCTGAGGTGCATTTTAATCCAACCAAGAGGATGTAAACGCAAAGTAATCGAAACCCGGTAATCAGAAATCGTACGGCCAGAAACCAGATCGAACCAACGATCTGGTTAAAAAGTTCCGTCAGGAAATTGGATCTCCCATTTCCCAGGCACCAAACAATTAAAATAAAAAGGAGAAAAAAAAAAAAACCTCCACAGCCTTTGATCTCCGATTAGGTAACTATTAACGATTTTCCTTTTCTCATTATCTCATTCCTTTGCTGTCTGATCAACAGCAAATTGTTCAATCACATTTTTGTTCTTGAATTTTATTTTTCGCTCTTTTTTTTTTTTTTTTTAAATCGTCTTGCTTTGAATTTGCCTGGTCATAAGGAATTTTGTATTGTTCACGGCTAGATTCATTTCATTGATTTTAGTCAGTTAGAATTATTGTTTTTTTTCTTTTATTTGAACTTTATTATGAACTTTAAAAAGCTAACATTCAAAATGATTTATAGACTTAAGGGCTAGGAATTCGGTTAAAGGAAAAATGGTGTAGTTTAGGTTATTGTAGAAGGGGGAATGTTTTAAGAGTGGTTTTGTTCATTCAGCTTTCTGTGTAGTATAGTCAATTGTAGGAAGGGGGAATGCTTGACGAGTGATTTTGTTAATTTAGCTTTCTTTACATTTAATGTTCACTTTTGCTTGACAAAAATTGAGCCGAGTGAGAAACATGATTGATTTTGAAAGAGAAACAAGCCTGGGATGCGTGTGTTTTGATGGCATTCTTGTTTTATTGTACCACTTCTACTTCCAGTACTAGAGTTGCGAAGTATCCTCGGTGTTTGATTTTGCAGAAGCTGATTTGGTGGAAACAATGAACTTTCTGCTGCTGCGGTCCAATCAACAGGGAACGCCAGAACCACCTCCAGTACCAGAAGAGGAGGCGGAGTCAACTTATGTTTCTAAATCTACGACAACTTTGGAAGGGCTTATAGATGAAGATCCATTCCTGGTGTATCCCACAATCGGAAATCATGATGGAGAAACCAATGGATTTGTAGGTGAGAATTCTGGTGTTGCAAGCAATAAGAATGCCTCTGTCTCTGAGAACCACATTGATGTTTCTGAAGAAGATGGATGGATCACTATTCCATATAGTAAGCGCACACTAACCACTAATGCTAACTAATCTACACATTTTTGGTTGGTAATTCTTGTGTAGTTTTTTCTCTCTACTTACAGTTCAGTGATTGGCTTTTACTCATTTCCTTTCCTTTTTTCTCCTCTCCTTATTTCTTTAAAAAATGTTAAATTTGTAAAATAGTGATTTGTTTTGAAATAGAGATCCTTGCTTTGAGTGTATCACCCCATTGTATGCATTGAATCAGTCTGCTTTTAATATCATAAGAATTGAGGTTGTGTAGAAAGCCAATGACCTGATGTTTGTTTGTTTTAATTGCTGATTTCTAACGTCTGGAAACTATACTGAGTCCAGAAAGGTAAATGCCCCAATCACTGAAATATAAAAGTTAAATGTAATCAATTTTGATCATCTGGTTGTTTTAAGGTAATCTTTTAATAGGCTATGGTTTCAACTGTAGGAGTCATTGGTATGGCATAGAATTGTGCTTGTGATGGCTTATTACATTTTGTAAGGTTCATAATGTTGATGGAATTATGTTTAATTATATTTCAATTTAATAAAAATGTCCTGTTATGATTGAATGAATGCTTATTTACAAATTGGATCTCCCTGAAGTTTGTATTGGTGTGTGCACTTGATCTACTTCCTGAATTAATATGCTGTGTATTTGATATTTCTTTGTTGTATATCTAATATTGATATGCTTTTGTAGAGGATCTCCCTGATGATTGGACTCATGCACCCGACATACATTCGTTACGTTGCCTGGATCGTTCTTTTGTTTTTACTGGTACCTTTTTCTTTTTCGAACCTCTTACTTCTTTCAGATTTAGTATGCTGTTGATTTGTATTCACATAGGATATATTGTGTTTGTAACTTGAAACTTAATCCTGTTTTCTTCTCCAGGTGAACAAGTTCATATTCTAGCATGCTTATCAGCGTGTAATCAGGAAACAGAAATTATTACCCCATTTAAAGTTGCAGCAGTTATGAGTAAAAATGGCATGCGGAAAGGTGCTGAGAAACAAAATGGAAACATGGAGGGTGAGACAAATTTAGTGCCTGGAGAAGGGAAAGTGAGTCCAAATGGCACTGTAATGGATCGGAATGGTGAAAACTTGGAGAAAGAGAAGATTGATCGAGCAAAGGATGTTTCTGCTAGTGAATCATTTCTTAGAATGGAAGATCAGAGAAGACAGACTGAAACACTATTGAAAAGGTTTAAGAACTCTCATTTCTTTGTCAGGATTGCGGAGTCAGGTGAGCCTCTATGGTCGAAAAAAGGTTCTTCTCGGACAGCTTCTGAGTTGTCTAAGATGGATGGTCAACAGTCTAATGCAAATAAAACCAAAAACACTGCCAAGAATATATACAGTCTGAGCGCAGTTATTGATAGAGGAAATTTTGAGGCCAATGTTTCTGGTGGAGTAGCTAGAGATACTGTTAAGTGTTGCTCTCTTTCCAATGGAGACATAATGGTAAGCACCACAGAAGAACTACATTGTTAATGATATTGTTTTACTGTTTGCTTTGACTTTGGATAAATGCTGGAGACATATTTGCCCTTAATTTTCTTTGGTGACAGGTAGCAAGTTAATTATTTCTGTTTTTCTTGCAAATGATGTTACTGCAATAGCTGCTTGATATTTCTGTCTGATTATGCTGGATGTGTGATGATGAACCTAGTAAAGACTCAGCTGGTGTAGTAATTGCAGTGTGTTTAAAATTGCTGACTTGCATAGGGATGGCAATGGGACGGGGCAGGGGCACAGACAAGGAATTCACTCTCTGCCTCTTGCCCGAACCACCCTTTTTGATATTGCCTCCAACTAGAGGCTAAAGTGTTGTCCAATCACTCACTGTCAAAGACTGGAAAGAATCCAGACGAGATGGGGCCACTATTGGTTAGTGGCTTGATGTCATGTAGAGCTCCCTGCCTCCGTCTTCCATGGATCTTTTCTAGTGAGACCTTGCTGCATGATATCAAAATTTGGCTGGGAAGTAACCTCTATTCAAATATCTCAGTTCTTGGATGGTATTGTGAGAAAAGGTTGGTAACTTGGATAAGTATAAAGAGTAATTTCAGGTAGGATAAGAATCCTTGATACCAGTACTGGAGAGAAGAAGATGGAAAATGGTTAGCTCAGTTTAGGACTCTGTTTTTCCACACTCAACATCTTGTCAGAAATTTGGGGTGTTCAGCAAGGATATTCCTACCATGTCATTTGGAGGCTTGCTTATGAGGGCTTTTCTAGCCAACCTAAAAGACATTGTTACTCATGTAAACTGAATTTGATGGAATGATATTTTCAGTATGCTACATATTGCAACCTGGCCATTGGCTTGTTCATGTTCCTAGTCTTTTTCAAAATTTAATAGAGGAAGCCTACTCAGATTTTAAACTGCTTTCAATTAACTGTTATCTTGCTCTGGTTCTGCAATTGATTGCAGAAGCTCTTGGATGCAATGCTTTTGTTTGTTTCATAATTATTTGTTTTAATTGGCAAATTGACTTTTATTTAGCTCTTTGCTAGGTGGTTTGTTGATTCAGACTACTGATTCTCATTCTATTTCTCTGTTTGGAAGGATGCAGGTACTTCTACAAGTGAATGTTGGTGTTGATTTTCTGAGAGATCCTGTCATTGAAATTCTTCAGTTTGAGAAATATCAGGACAGAATCCTGGCTGAGAATGAGGACAACTTAGTTTATTCAAATCAAGACCCATGTGGAGAATTGTTGAAATGGTTGCTTCCTCTGGATAACACTCTTCCTCCACCTCGGACTTTATCTCCTCCTGCTCCTTTAGGTTCTAGTTCTGGAATTGGTAGCACATCTCAGAGGTCTGCCTTTTCTGCCTCCTCTGGCTCTCAGCTCTTTTCCTTTAGTCATTTTAGAAGCTACTCCATGTCATCACTTCCTCAAAAAGTTGCAACTCCTCCTGGGCCTGTTAAAGCCCAAAGTTCTAAACCATCATTTGACCTTGATGAGGTGGATCATTACTTTTCTCAGAAGATTTTGAAGAGTCAAAGAGCAGGGATTGAAGAGCTTTTATCTTTTCGGGGTGTGTCACTAGAGCGAGAAAGATTTTCTGTCTGTTGTGGATTAGAAGGGATCCATATCCCAGGAAGAAGATGGAGGAGGAAAGTTGAAATAATTCAACCTGTTGAGATCCATTCTTATGCTGTCGACTGCAATACAGATGACCTCTTTTGTGTTCAGATAAAGGTAAACCTTAATGTTCACTATTCCTGATAAAACATATATATACTTTCTCTCCATTCCCTGTGGACACATTCAATAGGTTCTTTTATTCACTAATGAAGTTATTTTGCAGAATGTTTCTCCAGCACATATACCAGATATTGTAGTATACATAGATGCTATAACAGTTGTCTTGGAAGAGGCTTCAAAAGGTGGACCGCCTGCTTCCCTACCAATTGCATGTATTGAAGCTGGAGACGACCATTGTTTACCAAATCTAGCTCTCAGGTTGTTTTCACTCTAGGTACCTTAATTTACATCTAATTGTCCTTTGATGTTTAGCATTTTAGCATGACGATTAAGGTATCCACCCAGAAAAAGAAAAATATATTAATCTTTTGTTGTTGTATTCAGCCATGCTTGCTTAGAATGTATGACATAATGTTGCTAATACATTTTTAATGAGCAACAAAACCAAATTGCTGCAGGATATTAAATAGTAAATTAACAATAAGCCCTTGCATACATGAGGGCTGACTTTATAGGGGGTGTGTGTGTGTGTGGGTATATTTGGCCATTATCTAATATCTTGAAGTGTGTTTGGAATTAAGGTTTAGCCGAGTTGTATCTGCTGTCCCATGGTGCTGTAAAAGTGGGGAAGAGTTGTCTATTCCAAAGAGCTTATTGATGGTTTCTGTTGCAGGAGGGGTGAAGAGCACTCTTTTATTTTAAAGCCAGCGTCTTCTATGTGGAAGGACCTCAAAACTTATGGAGAAAAGTCTAAGTCGTCCAGTTTACAACCTGCTTCCAAGACTTTCGATGGAAAGGGGAGTGTTTCGTCTGTTAACCAGTATGCAATTATGGTATCATGCCACTGCAACTACACTGGTATGTACATTTCTCTTATTTTACACTATCATCTGGCAAATTTTGTGTTAATTACATGTTCTAACTATGAACATATCAATTTTGATGTTAAATGTAGAATCAAGATTGTTTTTCAAGCAGCCAACAAGTTGGAGACCGCGTATTTCAAGGGATCTTATGATCTCAGTTTCATCCGAAATTTCGGGACAATATTCTGGACCCAATGAAATAGTCACTCAGCTTCCAGTTCAGGTGTTGTACAATTTGGTTCTCTCTCTTTTTCTTGCTTGCACGCTATCTATTTATCTAACTATGACAATTCTCATTTACCTGGTGTGATTGTCAGGTTTTAACTCTTCAGGCTTCAAATTTGACACCCGAAGATCTAACTATAACAGTTCTTGCTCCAGCATCCTTTACCTCATCTCCATCTGTGGTATCCTTGAATTCTTCTCCAACATCACCGATGATCCCATTTGTTGGTTTTTCTGAACTTGCAGAGAGTGAGAGGCACGGTAGTGCTGTGCACAGACTCAGCTCAATGCCCACTGTATCAGAGAATGAGAAACAGAATGGTGATGCTGGGGCTAGGTTTACTTCTTTCAATGAGCAGTTGACTCCAATACCTGATTTCATTCCAACTTCTGGTTTGGGATGTACTCATCTCTGGCTACAGAGTAGAGTACCACTAGGGTAATGCATCACCTTTTGTATTATTTTTTTCAAATTGTGAATATAGAAGTGTTAACAATTCACATTGATTGCTTTAGATGTGTTCCTGCTCAATCTACGGCTACCATTAAGCTTGAGCTACTTCCATTGACTGATGGCATAATCACTCTTGACAGTTTACAGATTCATGTTAAGGAGAAAGGTATCATCTGTTTATTTCTCCCTTTTCATGATTCGCCTTACCAATATAATTGACTTATGTTAGAAGAAATGTGTGGTTTATGCATCTTTTACGGGATCCATTTATGATTAGATAGCTAGCCATGCACTGATCTCGAGCACATCATATATCCATGTTTGACATTGAAAGATAACCTCTGGTGAGTGGCACAAAGATGCATGCCTTTTCTGGATCACGTTGTATTTAGCAGTGTCTCCTCACCAGCCATTAAGGCAGTTTTGTTTTGTTTTGTTTTTCGTATACATTGTCTCTAGTACGTTTTGCAGGTATTGTTCATTTCATTCAGTAAAATGCCACCATTTTCTACTGGATATCATCAAATATAATGATGCCTAAGGTCTATCCAAAAAGCTAACATTTTTATGGTGAATCCCTTTATGGTGCAACAGGTCTTACTTATATCCCGGAGCACACACTAAAGATAAATGCGACTTCTAGTGTCTCCACAGGGATTATTTAGGATGGATTGCAACTTGTGTTTCTTATGTCACGTTATATTTAGCCATCAAGGATTTCAGAGCATCATTCTTTCTGTTACCCAATATTGGTCTTCTAGTGCCATATTGTGCAGAACCTTTGATACCACGGTGGATATCTTCTGTGTTGAGCAGAAAAGGAATCATCTTGCCAATTCCTCTGAAAATATAGCCATAAATGATTTCTTGTAAACTGCAATCTTGAGAATGGCATTTGTTATATACCCCCTTTGATGGGAAAGGTATGTTCTTCGTAGATGAATCTAGTTGTGTGAAAGTGTATCAGTTGCAAAGAAATCAGAAGACCTGAGTGCTTTATAGATAATCAGGCCCTACAAAACCTTATTAGGATCCAAAGACAGCCATGTTACACTTCCAAAATAGTGAATTTGTAAACCACCGATATAACGATTGCTGTAACTCATTGAGATGGCAGCAACCCTGGTTCATGAATAGCTCAAATGGCTTGAAGTTTGCAGATCAAGAAAACAAGCACCGGTTACTATGCAGGGTTTTTTTTTTTGGCTTTTGTTTTACATTGAATGGTTTATGATTGATAAGATGCCACGTTCATTGCTGTTTTGCATCCGTGATTTTGTTCGAACTTCTGTATTCCACTCTTCTATTTTGCATTTTTTCCTCGTTATGATCATACAGCAGCTTTTGAATATGTAGCAATTTGATGGGTGGCGGTAGAATTTTATTAACATCAAAGCATAAGGCTGAGGTTTGTCAATCTTGGATTTCGATCCAGGCTTGAAGCTGATTCCAATGAGCTGCTGCTGAGTGTGAAGTGTGAAGGGCTTAAGCTATAATCTTGGTTTGACATGTATGATACAGAATCGTTCTTTAGGTGCAGTGGGAGGCCAAGAGAATGCCGGATGTTTACCAGACTGATAATTTTCTATTTTACTCGGAAACTGGCTTTCCTTTAGAAGCAAAACAAGCCTAAAACAACAAAATTATGTAGTAAAAGAATAGATAAGATAGGTCATAAGAAAAAGAAAATCTACTTGGTTGAAAATTTTGACACTGCAATGTAGCCGAATTGTTGTTGCCGAGATATATATTCAAATCAAAAGTCAAAAGAAAATGAGCAATTTCTTGAACAAGCAAACAAACTCTTAAAACTGTTAAATTTTTTTGGCCTGATAGTTATAAAGGTATAAATGATATATTAGTATTCGTAAGTTATTTGAGTTTGATTAAAATAAAATTTGAATTCGATTCGATTATTATTGAATCAAACTCGAGTTCGAGTAATTCAATTCATCGATCGAATCGAGTTCGAATATATTTATATTCAATTTGAATAAGTCGTGAGCTTAATCAAATTTTTATATTTAAATTATTATTATTATTTTAATTAATAAAATATTTCGAATTTGAATTCAAATTCGAATACAAATAATCAAATTTTTATCAAATATAATAATCAAATTTATTTTTATATATTTTTAAATTTAATCAAACAAATTCGAATAACTCACATTTAATCACAAATCTTAATTAAAAAAATAATTTTCATTGCACCGTCACATCATCGTCTAAATGAAGACTCATAAACCACAATTTTATTTAGGCGAAAATGGATTGAAAACAAAACAAAAAGAAAATAAAAGTGAAGCATGAGTTTTCAATGTGACGCGCGGGTTAGAGTTCGCCCAACGAAGTTGGACACGTCACCCAAGTTTGTTTTTTCTCCGGGTAGTCCCCTTTTGCTTTTTTTTTTTTTCCTAGTCTTTGATTTGATTTCTAATAAAAAAGAAAAAAGAAAAAATATAATAAAATAAAATAGCAGAGGAGAATCAATAATAGTAAGAGAACCAGATAAGGGATTTTTCTTTTTTTTTTTTTGCTTCAAAAACTTTTAAACTGTTCAGCTCCGCATTTCAGCTTGTGTGCAGTAAGTAAACTCTATTTTTTTTTTTGTTTTTCTGAGAGTACATTTTCTAATCCTAGAAAAAAAAAACTTTGTTTTCTCTTAAGCATTTCCAGACTCCATTAACATTCTACTTTTGCGATTTTTTTTTTTTTGAAGCTTAATTTTGATCTGGTCTTTCCTCATCTGGGTTTTTCTGGCTTTTGTTCTTTAGGTGGGCTTTTAGTTATTAACATTACTAAATTTGGGTTCTTTTAGTTTTTGCGGGTTTTTGTTGGTATGAGAAATTATTAAGGTTAGAAGAAGAGAGAAGCTGGGGTTAGGTTTTGAGGAAGGAAAGGTGAAGTCTTGGGATATGTGCAAATCAAATGGAAGGAAGAAGAAGAAGAAGAAGAAGAAGAAGAAAAAGAACAGTGAAAAAGAAGATCTTGATGATGAAGCTGTGGTGGAAGAAACAGGGTGTTGGATCAAGTTAAGGCTTATTGGAAGCTGCATTTCTTCAAGATCCAAAGTTGACAGTTCCATTAGTGGGACGAGTACCCATTGTGGTAAATTTTCATTTTTTTTTTCTTGCTAAATGTTGCTTCTTTTTTGTGCTTTGCTATTAAGTTATATAACTTTTTTTTTTTTAAAATTTATTTTTGGTTGCCTAGTATTACTTTGAATCATGTTATCTTTAGCAGGCTGGTGTGCCATAGTGGTTGGCTTTTTGAGCACTAAGTATTATTTGTATGAATATATAGGTTAAGGTTTACTTTCCATTGCCTGTCCTTTGTCTCTTTTTTTGCTCAAAAGTTTTTACAGTCCATTGTGCACTTGTTGGAGTAATGGTTGAAGCAATCCTCTTTAGCAGTTTGCTATTACTGCTCCATTTTAAATGATTTTGAGAAAGTTAATAGATGAAGTAATGGGAGTGATGATGCCATTGATGAGAAAGAGATATTGTGACGTACCTTGGTAAACTGAAAGAAGTTTTACAATGATATATACTCAAGTGTTAGGAATGGATTATAGTATCTGCATTGTAACCATGCTGGAACTCACTTAGAAAAGGCAGGACGTGAGGCAACTCAAGTTCCACAATACCAACCCCAATCCCCACCCCACCACATTATGTTGTTCCTTGTGGAGACCTATATAATTGTATCTTGTAACATGCTAAATCTGTGCATTAATGAACAGATAGCAAATCTGGGAATGATACCAGTAGAGATGAACCGGCAGCTCCAGTTGTCTCATCTACAAGCACTAGCAATGCAGAAAGTAATTCATCTACTTCCAAACTTGAAGATGAGCTTAAAGTTGCATCTCGGTTATGGAAGTTCACATTTAATGATCTAAAGTTGGCAACAAGAAACTTCAGACCTGAGAGTCTCCTTGGTGAAGGTGGTTTTGGTTGTGTTTTCAAGGGGTGGATTGAAGAAAATGGACCTGCTCCAGTAAAACCAGGCACTGGGCTTACTGTTGCTGTTAAAACACTTAACCATGATGGCCTCCAGGGTCATAAAGAATGGCTGGTTAGCACCTGTACTCTGCATTTCTACTTTACACAGTATGTCATATCAGTTGCTCACTTTTTCTTTCTGTTTTCTTCTGAGTATTTAATCTTTCGTTGATTCTTGGATCATCAACTTGGCAGGCCGAAGTGAATTTTCTTGGTGATCTCGTTCATCCTAACTTGGTTAAACTTATTGGTTATTGCATTGAAGATGACCAGAGACTGCTAGTGTATGAGTTTATGCCTCGAGGAAGCTTGGAAAACCACCTCTTCAGAAGTATGTAGCTACTATTTTGTCCATGATTGATTTTTTACGTCAGATTTCAGAATTATCAATTTTTAAGGCATCATGAATGCTCATTCACAAACTAATTGGATTTCAGTCGCTTGCTATATAGATCTTCTAGGGAAATTGAGTTAGAACAAATTCCATCTCTTTCACTTATGGCTGCTTTTAGATTGGAGTTTCAAAAATAATGGATGTGCTATCTACTGTAGGAAAAGCTGACCTCTTAGGTTGGAGTTGTATTACTGCTCACCATGATAGATTACATATTCATTAGAGCAATATTCTCTGATTGGGGGTTTTATGCTTTTAAATAACTTTGTAGCTCAGTTTGTTGCAAATTATGATTTATGTAGGATTCTTGCCTCTTCCGTGGTCCATAAGGATGAAAATTGCACTAGGTGCTGCAAAGGGCCTTGCATTTCTTCATGAAGAGGCAGAAAGGCCTGTGATATATCGGGATTTCAAAACCTCTAATATCCTACTAGATGCAGTATATGCCAAAAACTTTACCTCAATAAAAATTTCTATTTAACAAAATAAAGGAATTTTTTCTGTGTTATGGTTTACTCTTTCTAATAATACGCCATTGCAGGACTATAATGCAAAGCTTTCTGATTTTGGACTTGCCAAAGATGGTCCTGAGGGAGACAAAACCCATGTATCAACCCGTGTGATGGGAACATATGGCTATGCGGCCCCAGAATATGTAATGACTGGTAAGCTTTAATAGAAACGAGATGCTTATTTAAGTCTGCCACTTTACCCCTCCCTTCCCTGTTTTATATCCCCTTAACTTTATACTTGATGTGCAAGGGTGGCCTTAACTTTGTCTGCATTCTGTATGTTTTTTCTTTGTTTTAACAACATGAGAATCTCTTTTTATTGTGGATGGGCAGGATTTTTTAGTTATTTCTGCTAATATATCTCTCAAAATGGAATTAAAAAGGGATGGTCCATGACCTTTTCTAGCTGTTCTATTGGGTAGATATAGTTTTTACCTTTGACAAATGAATGTTCCAGTCTATGAAACATGCTTTGATGCTTTCCAATGAAGGGCATGACACACTTGGGCACTTGTGGGTTCTTACAATCCTTTTCTTCGATGACATGTAAAATTTGTTTTCCTTGATGACTCTTAATGCATCTTTTTTCGACCTGATCACCTAATTCGGAGATGACAAGGAATGCTTATCCTATGCAAAGCAACGCCTTATTTTGTTTTTCCTTCTCTTAGGGTCTAATCAAATGAACATAATTTTATCTCAGGACATCTTACATCGAGAAGTGATGTCTACAGTTTTGGTGTGGTTCTACTAGAAATGTTGACTGGAAGAAGATCCATGGACAAAAACCGACGTAATGGAGAACATAATCTTGTGGAATGGGCTCGGCCTCAACTAGGAGAGAGAAGGAAATTCTATGGATTGGTCGATCCTAGGCTTGAAGGTCACTTCTCAATTAAAGGTGCTCAGAAAGCTGCACAGTTGGCTGCTCACTGTCTCAGCCGTGATCCAAAAGCTAGACCCTCAATGAGTGAAGTGGTGGAGGCCTTGAAGCCGCTGCCGAATCTCAAGGACATGGCAAGCCCTTCATATTATTTCCGGTCAATGCAAGCAGAACGAGTAGGGTCCAGCCCAAATGCTAGAAATGGTATCCGAACTCAGGCTGGGTCGTCACTTTCTAGGAATGGGCACAGGAGCCTTTCCATTCGAAACGGTTCCCATGCTTCTCCCTATCACCATCAATACCCCTATCAATCACCAAAGCCCAATGGTAAACCATAATGTTGGGTAATTAATATCTTTTCCTCAACCTCTTCTCATCATTTATTTCTTCACGCCCCCCCCCCCCCCCCTTCTTTTTTTCTCGGTATAGATGTATTCTGCCAAAGCATTTGTTCCCAGATAATGGAAAAAGCAACAGAGAGAAACATGTTTGCTTTATTTTGTATTTAGGATGTTAACCTCCCTGGCAGGATAGTCGGCAGGTGAAGCTTATGGAGCAAAATGTCATGTTAATCATCTGTTGCTTTAATCTGTTTGGAAATATTAAAGATTAGTTTCTCTCCTTTCTTTTCTCCTTTCCCGCGTGTATACAAGCGCTTGTTTCTTGGTAGTATCCACATGGCTGAATGTTTCTTTTGATGTACAGCCTTTATCCTGATCAACTCTTTGGAAATTGGTTGTTATCGTTGGCAAGTAGTTTATCATTTTAATCGATTCCTATAATGGAATTTAGAACGAGTCTATCACATATAATTAGCGATTCCATGTAATATCAATGATTTTGCTGCTTCGAATATCCTTCATTTAAGCTCACATGGAGCTCGAAAAGACCCCTCTGGCTGCTTTCTGATCTCTCTGCACCAGTGCTACCGGATCAGAGACTTGCAGAGTAACGAAAAACTAACAAGCCAGCTTGAAGGACAAGTGCATGTAGTAAACTAGGAAAATATGCTGGCAGATAAGAATAGAATGTTTAAGGAAGTGTTAAAAGGGTGGAGTTCAGGATGATGCTAAGCTGGTAGAAATTAATGATTACTAAAACTCACCATCTTCAAACCCATGCTAGACTAAGGTTAAGAAAAGCTTTTTTTCTTTTTTTGCCATACGGCCACCATCCAAAGTCCAAACTCACACTAGCTCTTCCTCTCGTTATACTAAAGCAATTATTTTTTCACTTTCAACATCTGTGACACTTATTTATTTATATTAAGATCTTTGATAAGGAGACTAACTTATTATGGCACCTCTGGCTGGATTTGTCTTGGCGGAGATGTGGTTATGGACCCCATCAAGCTCTCCTTGTAAGCTGCTCTTTGGATGTGCTCTCAAAGATCTTGTCAGCATTCCCAACCTCAAATCCATCTCGCCTGTGGGACTCTTTGACCTGTGCCATTAAGTTCATAATACAAGTGGTCAATACCTGTGCAGTGTTTATACTAGTACTTTTCTGCACATCAACAAAAATCAGAAGATTTGTAACAACAGAGAAGCATAAACATAAAACCATTCAAGCCTAAAACCGTGAGCTAATGTCCACAACTGACCCCTGTTAATAGTTTTATTTATATTTATTATTTTACATTCACTTATAATTTGTTTATCTTAGAGAAATTCATATCTCAGTCAACCAAAGAAAATGTTGTAAATACCTCACGTTCAGGCAGATTTTTATATTGAGGGAGCACAAGGCGTTCAGCGAACTCAATGTATGAACAGGGAACAGTCTCATTGATACCATCAGAAAAACAGAATGGGATTGAATCTGCCACTGTTGAACTTTGCAGCAGAAGGCCATCAGGACTCACTGAAACGGAGGAAATAATGCCGTTAAATTTTGAACTCCATTTTCAAACGAATAACATGATCAGCAATTTATCATTGCTAATATTCAATATGGCCATAACAGCAGCATCAAAAGAAGTATACAAGCGAAAGCTGTTGCAAGAACAGCAAAAGTGGTTGAAGGAAAATCAATGACAAACGCATAAATAAATTAGCTAAATAGCTATTGCAATACAAAATGTTCTGAACAATATCTAATCTTTGCCAAAAGGTTAAATAGTTTGCTCGTATGACGGAATGACAATCCCAGCTGTGCCAACTGTATGTTCATCCAATATTTCTTATTCTTTGATGATTACAGGGAAGCAAAAGATCAGAAAAGGATAAATTTAACCTATGAATTTGGAGCTATGTGCATGATATTCATGCAAAACATAAACATATTTTATTGTTGAGTTCTAAAGTTACAAAAAAAATACAGAGAAGCATCGAATCTTAGACTTTTCATGGCTGGAGAAATCCATAGAAACTATGAAAAGCTTGAGAGCACATAAAAAGCTTTAATAATTTCTTATTATCTGGTTGGCGCCAAGTATTTCCCAGGCCATGAAGCCCCCTAACTCAGGCATAATTAAAGAAGACACCCCACCCGCACCCCTCCCACCCCCCATCCCCACCCCCCAGATAAGATATATAGCATTTAACCAATTTAATCCATTAGCTCCCTTCCTTGCGCCAGAATGCGAAAGGAACCTGCTGTTCTCTAAAATTGAAATTGGAGAAGCTAAAAACTAACATTTCATACTATGAAAGACCAGCTTCTACGAGTCTTTAGCATACTCGATTTACTTCATACCATTCACAGTCCATTTCTATCACATTTGACAGTGAGAGAAAAAGCTGGTTGTATGTGACTATCAGCAATGTCCATGTCTTAATAATATAAACCATCCACCGCAATTTCTAACTGGCATTGAAAGAGGGAGTGTGCAATAAAAAATGAACACTAGCTACTAGCTAGTTATTGCAGTCAGCATGCCTTGAAATGAAAAATCGTTGGGTGTAGAATCTGACTCCCAACAGTTACAGGAGTATATGCCTCCACAATCCTATTTTTAAAAGCAGGTTAAATTAAAACACCTTGAAATGTTTCTTTTAAAGTAGCAAACCTTTTAGAACTCCACCTTCAGAATTCAACTTGAACCCACTCTTTTCAATGAACTGATTGAGGCTTTTGATACTCCTCAAGTTAGATTTCAGCCGATGTGCGGAGATAGTGACATGATTGAGTGCATACCCATTGACAAGGGTCCAGGCAGCATATTCACTTTCTCTGAGCATCAAAGAAATGTAAGCAGGCATTTTCTAATTATTATGTTGTGAAGTGTTCTATATTCCTATAGAAAATATTTGTTTGCTCAACTAAATAAACACAATTAAGTGAATACCCTGCCAATTGCTGAAATTCAGAATACAAGGGCTTCTCCCATGTTAAAGATCCCATAGCACTTGCAAGAGCTGCATATTTATTTCCACTACCAGATTTTTCAGTGTATTTCCTGATTATTTCCTGAATCAGCAGATGAGCAAATATACAAAATAAGATAGGAATATGAAGTGAAGTAGATGTCAGGTGCAAATTATGATGTCTCTCCATAATAGCATCTGTAGCAAGATTTCTCTACCAAAAAAAAAAAAACATGGAGATCTTTCTATATGAGAGATAAAGAAAGGATAATTTATTTGATATAATTAGGTCTCATCCTTGAAAATCATCAATAATACAGTTAAAATGCAGTTCTAGTCAACAAATCTGCTAATATATTATCACTTTAGTCCAACACCAGAACCAGGCAAGAAAATTCATGAATTCCACTGGTATTACAAAAATATGAAGGCATGAAAGCCATAATCTGCATTTTTCCACTAGTTTTACACACACAAAAAAAGAGTTTATATAAACTTCAGCAACCAACCACAGCCAAAACCCCAGAAGTGTTTTGCTATTTAAAAGACAGATAAGCATATAGCATTTCACATTTGGCAACAGTTCAGCTTTGATTTAAAAAAGGGACAGTGAACTCTTGGTATAGCATATAATAGAATAGCATTGACTTAAACTATGCCAGTATAGACATACCTGTGTTTTGGGGCTCATTTGATCCACAAGAAGCTCTGAAATAAATACTCTTGGTAAGGGCCCATTAACACCACTGCCACCATCTTGAGAGGAACTACTAGGAGGAGAAAACCACAAAGCTCTCAATTTTTTAGCAGGAAACCTTAGTTCCTCCTTTTGGGTATACCCATAGTCCAGAAAAAAACTAGCCATGGAGTTAATCCCATATCCATTTATCTAATTTGTCATATGAGAAAGAATGCATAGCTAAACATTAGATCTTTATATAATGAAGAACGATTGATTCTTAAACAATTTGAAAACAAAACAGCATACCCCAAAAGTCCTGAAAGCCAAATGATCATAGCAAATTTGTTCATTATCAACAGAATGGACAAGTTCCAAGATGGATTTTGCAGTAGGGTTTCTATTCAAATAAACTGTTTCCATACTTGTCAAAACATCCCTGAAAAATGATTCACCTCCCTGTAACAAAGATAACATATTAATAAGATGGCTGAGAAACAAATAATTTGAGAAAAGTAAGGTTGAACTTGAAAGGATTCACATTAAGAATGTCATAGATTGGCCTTGCCAGCTTTAGGGACCAACTCAAAGAACTCTGCAACAGAATTTTTTCCTTTTTTTCTGGGAAGTGATAAACAAATCCTGGGCTTTAAGAAGTGCAATCCATCTTAGCTGTGTTAGCTGGTACTTTAAAAGATAAAATCCAATGCTAAATATAAAATGTGATGGATGTAACAACCAATGACAAATGTAGTAAACTAGAACGATAAAAGCCAACACCTACTTCCTTTCATCTTGTTGATAGATGTCCCTACAGGCTAGAAACTCTAATCTGATGCTGGCTTCCATGCCCAAAATCTCCCTCCAATCAATTTTGTGATAACTTACTACTTTTTCAGTCAAGAAAAGTTCATTATTATGTTTTTCTACAATTAATTGACTGAACAATAATACTAACGTTTACAATTAATTCATTCAACCAATAAAACTAATATATATGTTTGATAGCTCACTTAAATTTTATCAAATAAAAAAAACTTCTCCAAAAGTTTGTATCTTTTACTATTATAATTGAAATTCACTTATCATACCAAGTACTCTATAATGCATAATTTAAAAAATTTAGATTTGAAAATAATATAAACTCAAACGTTATGGGTGTGCGCTACAATTTAGGTTGAAATGAAATCTTTGGTTTGGGTTGTAGCATTCATCTTTTTTATATAAAAAATAATAATTTTTATATATTATGAATTTAAGATTATATATATATATATATATATTAAGTCTTAAATTCAGTTTAAAAACAAAACCTAAAATTACTAATTTAAAATACAAAAGTTTACATTTTTTTTACTACTCCTACTAGATATTTGTTAACTGTTCATACAACTAGCAGAATCCAAAGAAATGAAGGCTGATACAGTTAAACATATGATAATTTTTATATAAAACAAGAGGACGATTTACCTGATAAGGAAAATAATGATTGGCCGTCTGATTTAGAGGCGGAAACGGTGCAAAAACTTGGATTCCTGGAGGAAATTGAATTCCCGCGAAATGAAAGGTGGCTGAAGGAAACAAACTGACGGCTTGATTTCTTGTGGGGCAGTAGAGGAATAAAGGCGGAGGCGGCCAGAGTATTGAGAGACGGTGGAGAGGCGTTCTTAGCAATCGCCGATGAACAATGGTACGAGGAAAGCATCGTGGATAGTCTCATGGGATTCCCCGACAATCTCGCTCCCACCGTTCAACTATAATATCGGACCTTTCAATGCTGGGACCACGATCAGCGCACCTGTGGCTGCGTCCCTTTTTCTTCTCTTTTGAAATTCCTAGAATTGTTTTCTTTTTGGCCTTTTTTTTCTATTGAGTTAATAATAATCATCACTAGCTTGTCAGTCTGTCACGCGCCACCTAATCAAAATGTCATTGCTTGCTAGCTCATCAATTAAAAGCAAACTCATGGTTACCATCTAAGCTAGGACCCCATTTCACCGTAATTTTAGTGTGGTGTGATCGAAGTTATCCTAGCATCAATCGAATATAAATGTTAATTTTATTTAATATAAATACTTCATTAATTTTTTAATTATAATTATAATTATTTTTTAATCATTATATTAATAATTTTTATTATTTTTTTAATTTTATTAAAATTAATTTCATCATCTATTTAAATAAAATTTATGAAGTTGATTTAATTGGTAAAATCTTTCTCGTATTAGTAGTTTTGAATTTGAATCTAATAAAATTTTTTTATTAAAATTATTTTAAATGTATAATTTAGAGTTATTATTTTTTAGTTTATTGGATGTGAAATATTTTGTTGAGGTCGTTCAATTAGTAAATCCGTATTTCTTGACGATAATAATTTTGGTATAATCATTATTTTTAGATTATTTATTATAAAGTTTCAAATATAATATATTTACTTTAATTTAATACTGAATAATTTATTTATTTCAAACATTTATTAAACATTTATTTGTTTTTTTATTTTGATTTTTAATTTCATAAAATAATAAACAAAAAATAAAAATACCAACAGAAATAAAATTTCCGATAAACGGGATGGTTAAAGCACCCAGCTTTTGTTTATTCTAGTGAAAAAATTATTTTAGAAGGAAATGACGGGGGCTACTGGGGAAGATTATTGCTTGGCACAATGGGCACTAGAAATTGCGTCTGGATTCTAGTAATCAGCTCGTTCCTAGCAAGCAAGCAAGCAAGCAAGCATTATTGGGTGAGGTCGTCGACCAGCTTGTACATTAGTAGGTTGACAATAGATCGAGTTAGAACGAATTTTATTTATTAGAGATTTGATTTAATTTTATAATTATAAAATTTAATTTAATTTGATCTGATATTATATAAATTATATTTGATTCGATTCGATCGAAAATTAATAAAATATTATATTTTAAAATATAAAATATTATTTTTTAAATATAAATATATAATTATATATAAATAAAAATTAAAAATAATTAAAAATAATTTTTAAAATCGACTTAAATCAAATTTACATAAAATTCAAATTTAATCTAACTCAAATTTTAATTTTTTTTTAAAATCAATTTTATAAAATTAAATCAAGTCACGATCCATCAAACTCAAGTTGAGTTGTAACCTATACATATTGAACTGTAATCCTATACATATGGATAGAGATTAAACGTGGGCAGATATATCTCGCCAATTCCCAATTCTCAATCACAATCAAGATAACCATTTGACTTTTATTTAATATTGAGTCTTGAATTTGAATATTTCGTATATAGTTATTTATACGTCTATTTTAGGGATAATAATTAAAGATATCAACGAATTGGATGAAAGTGAGTTTTCGATTTGTTTCGAACACAATTTAATTTTTTTATTTTTTCATATTTAATTTGATTTAATTTAATATTTTATAAAATCATATTTAATCTAATTCTATTTAAAATTAATAAAATATTATTTTTTATTTATAAATATAAAATTATATAAATATATAAATATAAAATTAAATAATTAATTAAAAATAATTATATATATATATTGAGTTGAATTAAATTTATTTAAAACTTAACTCCGATTTTTTTTACTATTACCTCACATGATCCTATATTTAAATTTTTTTTTGTTAAATTGGTAATAAAAAATAGAGTTTGATTGAAACTCACTTGATTCGATTTAAACTATTTTTCTTAATAATAAGATATGTCACGATATGATTAGAAATAACAATAAGTTAGATTATAAGTTTTTTTTGTTTCAATTTGAATCAATTTTATAAAATTTATATTTGATTTTAATTCAATGATAAATTATAGAAATTTTTTATATTTGACCCCATTAGATCAATACATCAATAAAATCACAACTAACAAAATTTAATTTAGTATAATTTTATAAATATTTTTTTAATATAAAATATATATTAATTATATATAAATATAATTTTTTATTAAATTATTATCTTAAAATAAAAATTTTAAATAATAGTTTTATTAATATAATATATATTTATAAATATAATAAAATAAAAAAATATATTTAAATATATTAGATCGGGTGAATTCGGGTTTACTTATAACTCAATTTCAACTTTAAGAAAATATCCGACCTAACTCAGAACTTTAAAATGAAAATCAATTCTCTAAAATCGAATCGCATCTCAATCCGATGGATTCGAGTAAATTTACCCTCTTTGTTCTGATCCATGTCGAATGAGATAAGCTCGTAGAGAAAATCAATAATTATTAGCTTAATTATTATCCTAAACTTGCTCAATCAAACTAAATTGAGGGCAAAATGGCCAATTGTTGGGAGTTGGGACCATAAGAAAAGCCCACTGCAATTTTCAACAAGTGGATGTCGTCGTCTTTCTTCAAAATTGCTTAGTTTTAATCGAGTTTTCGATTTCATTATTTGCGAGCAAAGCACGCTGCAAAAGCACACTCTCTTTTATTGCAATCTTAAATTTTCTTTAGGTAAGATAATTTCTTCTATCTTTTTTATTTTTTTTTCGTTCTTTAAGTAATGAAATTCTTGTAATTATATATAGCTGTAGCTGCAATCTTAAATCATGAAACAGCGAGGGAAATTAGGGTTTAATCTCATTATTTTTGGCCATATTTCTTGGAACGCTTCGATCTTCACAACGATTTCACTCGGTTTCTATGTTTTCTGCCATTGATTTTAAACCAACTGTAAACGAAACCGTGAATTCCTCGTTTCAATGTGGATTTGTTTTTGTCTTGTCGTACTCTGAATATATAACAAAAACAGTATTTTAATGAGATAGTTGTCCTTTTTCTCCTTCCTTGTTTACCTTTCATTTTAGGTCTTATTACTATGGCAGTAGCTCTCACTAAGCAATATTCTAATGGAATGTTCTTTAATACTTTAAAAAATTAGCTGAAGTAGCTCTCACTTTTGAGGCCTGAGCCGAATAAACAAAATTAAGTTTTCTAAGCAACACAATTATTGTATGGAGGACTATTTTTAGCATTTGAAAAAGATTTGTTATGTTTCTGTTTGGTTTGTAGTCTATCTGCATCCTTATGGTAATATTCAAACTGATTTGTAGACCTGATAATATGTGTATTTGTGTTATGTAAAATTAAAAAATTATATATTCATATCGTATTTTATATGAAAATTTCGTATCATAATTCATATCAATACAAAAATATGAAATATTTTTTTTTATTAAACCAATATATATTTATTACTAAAATTTTAAGCTGTGTTACCTTATATCTTATTTTCATTTCATGTTCGTTGTGCGTCACCATGTCTTGTTTTAGACTACCAGTCTACTGATTTATTCAAGGAAAGGGCTGAATTGTAATTGCATCATAATTATAGAATGGGTTACATTCAAGGTAGAAAAATTCTACCTAGCTTTCTTTCTTTCTTTTTTTTTTCCTTTTCAATTTTATCTTTGTGGACATATTGATGCTCTTTCGAATCTGAATACCTCGACTATAACGGGTAACAGCTGTGTTAACATGAGTGTTATTTATTTGCTTACCATGTTGGATGTGAAATGTTACTATGAGGTGCTTTTATCATGTCTTTGTTGAGTATTTAAATGACTTATTTCAATAGCTTATTCAGTTTTCTGCGAATCAGACGCAAAATGTGTGTGACAGAAAGATTTATTTGTTTTGCAATTTTGGATGTGAATTTAATGTATTGATTGAAGGCTTTGTATGCTTATTGATGTTGGAATAATTGATTTTGCTCAGAAAATGGGGCAAGCTATTGGGTGTATTCAAGTGGAGCAGTCAACTGTAGCTATAACAGAAACCTTTGGGAAGTTTGATGATGTGCTTGAACCTGGTTGTCATTGTTTGCCTTGGTGTTTGGGAAAACAGGCGGCTGGTATTCTCTCCTTGCGTGTGCAGCAACTGGATGTTCGATGTGAAACAAAAACCAAGGTTTGTTGCATAATCAATAGCCACATGACAAGTGCATTAATTTGAATTTTCAATCCCAAGCAGCTGTTACTGTAACGGCATGGTAAGTGTGTGTTGGATATAGTGCTTCTTGTGAGAGGGAAAAAGTGGAATGAGTCGTTAGTAATGTAAGTTTAAATTTCAAATTTCATTCTTTGGGAAAGATAAAGAGAAATGTATAATGAGTTTGATAATGGCATTCCGGACACTGAATTATTTTTCTGAGCATTAAGTTTTTTTTTCCATCTAATTTGTACTTTTATTTATTTCCTGAGGGCAAAACAGTTGTTATAAATTGATTTGAGAGATTTTATTATGAAAAGTTGTGAAAACTGTGTTGGATGAGGTTGATGCTATAGTTGGTTCGATGCTCTTTTAAGTGGAAAGCATGTGTTTTTCTATCTAGACCTCCATTAGTTATTCCAGTTCATTCTGATATTTGCTAATGTCTTCAGGATAATGTGTTTGTTACTGTGGTTGCTTCTATTCAGTACCGAGCCTTAGCAGATAAGGCTCAAGATGCTTTCTATAAGCTCAGCAATACCAGAGCCCAGATCCAATCCTATGTCTTTGATGGTATGTATGTTTTAACTTTACCTTTGAGTAGAAACCCCACTATGATATGGTATTGGATGAAATTAGCTTAACTACTGGAAACCTATGATATGGTTTCATGGATTTTGGAGATTTGAGTGGTTTCTACCTCAAACTTCATCATCAACTTCTCCAATCATGGGGCATCCAATCTTATATAAGCATTGGATGATTATGAAGAATCCAGCTGCTTATATTGCAGCTTGTGCAGTATTTCAGTAAGGATTTCCTCACAATTTTTTGAACCTTTAATATTATTCTTCTCTTCAACTGTTTCAGTACTAATCTAAACTTCATTATATTCCTCTCCATTATGAAGATGTGAATCTTTGAATTATTTTTCTAGTTTAAAAAAAGAAAAGAATTATCCTCAGCTTTTCAGTCTTGAGAATTTTGAATGTTTTGGAGAATTATCTGTGCTTTGAATCATATGCAATCAGTGTTTATATTTGATCATGTCAACTCACCCTTTACCTGGTCATACTTCAAGTCATTGTGTTTCTAGAACACAGTTCCGGGGATGAACTAATGGCATATATTTTTTATTTAGTTATTCGGGCAAGTGTTCCTAAGTTGGAGCTGGATTCAGTATTTGAGCAGAAGAATGATATAGCTAAAGCTGTGGAAGAGGAACTTGAAAAGGTATTGCTCTGTTTACTTTGTTGTTTAGGACTAATCAACAAGATTGTGCAGAATAAAACATACCTGTTATTTGGATCTTTAGGCCATGTCACATTACGGATTTGAGATAGTTCAGACTCTTATTGTGGATATTGAACCAGATGAGCGTGTGAAGAGGGCAATGAATGAGATAAATGCTGGTATAATATGCAAAACTTTATGAATTAGAATCTTAAATTTATTTTGCTGTTTTTTTTTTTTTTGTCTCCCTTGCCCTTATTTATTAAAACTACCCCTTGTTAGTCAATGTTTGAATAGTTTAGCTTGTTTATCATAAATTTTGTCCATAGGTCTGATATTTGTGTACTTGTAATAAATAGCTGCTAGACTGAGGGTGGCTGCCAATGAGAAGGCTGAAGCAGAGAAGATATTGCAGATCAAGCGAGCAGAAGGAGATGCTGAGTCAAAGTATCTAGCTGGGCTCGGTGTAGCTCGGCAGCGTCAGGCTATTGTAGATGGACTTAGGGACAGTGTGCTGGCCTTCTCTGAGAATGTACCTGGGACAACATCAAGGGATGTCATGGACATGGTCCTTGTGACACAATACTTTGACACAATAAAAGAGATCGGCGCGTCATCAAAGTCCAACTCTGTTTTCATTCCACATGGGCCAGGTGCTGTAAGAGACATTGCTACTCAAATCAGGGATGGCCTTCTTCAAGCCAGAACCACTGAGTAGCCTCAAGTCCTTGCATGGCATTTTGGACAACCCAGCTATCCAGCTTTATCAACCCAGCATCTGCTGGATGTAAAACGCTTCCTGGTATAATATATTCTTAATCATTCTACTTAATAACAGGAGTGATAATTGAAGCTTGGCCAACGGTTATCATCCTTATTAGACTTTATTGTAAGTACGAAAAGAATGGTATTAGACTAGTAGTATATGCTTTTTAATAAATTGGGCGTTGAGCTTTGTTATTGCACCTAAAGAAAACGACACAGACTGATTTTAAATGCGTATAAATTTTTTATTTCTTAGAACGTGTAGAAAAGTTTTAGTGGTGATGTTTGTTGCTACTGCTTGCACGTGTTCTTTTGTAAACCACTCGAGGTATGTAAATGATTGATTCGTTGCTTTGTAGTTACTTTTGGGTGCGAATAATATGTTAATATTCGTAAATTATTTAGATTCGATTTAAATAAAATTTAAATTTGATTTAATTATTATTAAATTGAGTTTGAATTTAAATAATTTTATTTATTGATAGAATTAAATTTAAATATTTTTATATTTATTTATAATATTTATGAATTTAATTAAATTTTTATATATTTTAATTATTTAAATTAATAAAATATTTTAAATATAAATTTGAACATAATCAAATTTTTGTTAAATATAAAAATTAAATTTATTTTTATATATTAATTACATTTAATTAAACAAATTTATTTAGTTTAATTTTTATTTTAAATAAAATTCAAATTAAAATAAATAAAATTCAATTAAGCTTAAATTGAATTTCGAATTTAAATTTTGCATCAAATTCAAATTTAATACTGCATCAATTCAAATTCTATCGATTACATCTCTAATTCACTCCCCTTATGCAATTATTTCACAAAACTGCTGAATAACCTTGGAGATTCAACAAAACAAATTGCTAATTTCAGTTCTCCAATCACAATTATTTTTAAAAACCATGGCGTCAAATCCATTCAAGTACATTATTTCTCTCCAAGTCTCCACCAATAAAAATCAAGACCTACGGCTTGAGTGCCAAGGCTAGCCCAACTTTAGCACTCTTTTCAATTGCTCTGGTGTCCACCTCTCCAGAGACAGTGAAGAAAGATTTTGGCCGCCACTCATGCTGGATTAGAGAACTTGCTCTGCCATAATTGTTCACACAAGACTTTACTGTGGTTAGTGGGTCAAGAGCATGCTGCATACCAATTGTGAGAGTGTTCTCGTTACTTGAAAAGCTATGGGTCAGCTCCACACCAACTGCTGTGTTAGTCCATAAGCTAACAATGTGGTAGTAGGAAGCATTAACGGTGTCACCTTTATCATTCCTGTAGTTATCAACAAAAATAACCCAATCAAAACCAGAAGCATAAGTACAATAATGAAATACACGCACAAGTGACAAAAACCACTCGGGCAGACATTTCTAGGTTACTTTTCATGCTTCCAAGCCAATAGTTTAACTAATGAATGACCAGGATCACATAAACAAATTAAATAAAAGTTCCATGCCTGAGAATATGGAAATATAACTGAAAATATGGAAATATGAGCTCATATGAAAATAAATAGAGCAAAAAAGTAAACCCCAACTCTGCTGAAAGAAGTACTTACAATGCCAGGGAAGCAATGAGGTCAGAATGGGTGAAATTCAACCCAGCATTCAGTTTGGTAAATTTCCCACTGGTAGTGTCAAAAGAGAGATCAGTCCCAACAGAGACAAAATTGTTTCCAACCACACCAGAGAAGTTAATAAGGGGATTCGCAGTCAATCCAATGCTAGTGCTTATGCCAGCATACTCATGCTGGTATTGCAGTTCCACCTGTTACAACAACAATAACGACCTTGTCATATCCTCATGAAACCTATAAGTTTACAGAAGGGATGGGCAAACATAGCTAAAACACATTACTTAAACCAGGATGCTGAAAATATTGGTATTAACAACAAAAAACTTAATGACAGAAAGAAGTCTACATTACCTTGCCAGACCTTTGATCAGGGACAATGAAACTAAATATTGTCTTCAATCCTGGTGCAGGTTCATTGACGGTAACATCCGTAAAAAGCTAAAAAAATAAAACCAAAAAAATCACAATGAGATAATACTTAAGCCACCATGACAATGAGTGAAAACAGAACAAGTCAAAAACATTCCCTAACTTTGAATTCATCATAATGAAATGGCACGAAACAATTATGCAAATATGAACTTTAAACTATAAAGGCTTATCCAATTTTGAAAAAAACTTACAACTTACTTTAGAATTAGTGTCAACTTTCACATTAGTCGTGATGTTCTTGTTCTTCAGCTCAGTGCTTATATCAGCCAACAGCAATTCACCTTTCTTAGTCCCAGTAGATGTGATTGCCTGACATTCATATCAAATTAAAGAATGAATATCAACTATATAAGAAGGCAGTTTGAAAAAGGAAACAATAAGCCAAAACCATAAATCTCTAGATCAATCACAACTTCAGGTATAAATAATAATCATGCAAACATATCCAATAAAAATATTTCTAAAGAAATCATATGAAACCTTATAATCAGGCAAAAACATAAAGATTTTATAGATAAAGGTTTTATACATAAAGATAATAATTAATAACATGTTGATTCCCATTCCCACACAAATTTAAATAAAATCTTAAAATTCAAGAAACATTAATTAATACTTGAAATAACAAAAAAGTAACAAAAAAGAGAATTATATATATTGAGAAAGTTAAAATAAGAGTTCATTTATATAAAATAGAATAATAAAAAAAGTTTCACCAAATCAACTGAAAAAAATATATATTTAAATATCCAAAAATTAGAAAGAAAAACTCACAACTCCATTGAGAGTGTAAGTAGTGACGGTGAACTTGTGATCGGTCTGGTAATCCTTGTAAAGAAGATCTGAATTAAAAAAACAAAAAACAAAAATTAATAAAAAGCAGTTAAACTGAAAAAGAAATGAAAATAAGCTAGAAAATGAGAAACTTTCACCTCGCTTTTTTGCCAAAATCAGAGTAGAGACCAGGACCTTTTCCCATGCCTTTTTATCCCGAGAAAATGCTGAGAAAAATGATTTGACTTACTATTTTCTGGCCGAAAGAAAACGAATAAATTTATAATAAAAAAAACCCTAATTAATAAATATTTGATAATTATGAACCGTTCATCTTACGTTGAGAAGAATATTTGCTGTCATTGACCATTGATATAAACAGCAGGTTGTTGCGGTTTCTAGAATCAACATTGAGCATATTCGCCTAGTTTCGTTTTTGGTAATTTATAATATGGGTTTTGACAAGACTTTCGGATTTAAGAAGTTTGAAAAAATTGGATCCAATGAAGTTTTGTGACAAAGGTATAACTTAATCCCAACGCTAAAAGCTTGTTCAAATTTTGGGTCCGGCTAGACAAATTTTTTTTTTTGTTCTTGGCTTTGGCCTAACAGCTAATATTTTGTTTGACATGTACTATAAATAAAATTTTAAAAAAAATTTCATAGAACTCATTAAAAGTGTAGATGAACTAAATATAGATGGATTTTGCTATCTTTATAATTTATTTATTTAATTAATAAATTTTAAAATATTATTTATGATATTTATTATATTTAATAAATAAATATAAATAAAATTTGAATATATTTATAAATTATTTATTTATTTAATAATTTTAAAATATTATTTATAATAATCTAATAATTTTAATAAACAATAAAAAATCAATTGGTCTTAGAAACCATGGCAGGTAAAAGTGACTTCCTCATGGTAGGCCTCCGAAGCTTTTAGTATGTTGATCTTTTTCCGTGGTTTATTCACCGTTAACTCTTTTGATGCACTTAAAAGATGATGGGTTAAGCACATTTCTAATATCTTTTTAGAAGGAGGTAAACGAATTAAACATAAATAAATAAATATATATATTTTAACATTTATTTATTTATTTTTAAAAATATTTATATTTAGTTTGTGTTAATTAAAAAATTATTTTATTTATAAGTTATTCATGTTTGATTGATGTTCTTTCAATAAAATTAAATAAATTTTTTCGTAAATATTTAACGAATATATTTATGAATATATATAAAAAAATATATTCATAAATAATAAATAAATTATAATCAAATAAATTTTAAACAAATTCAAATAAATATAAATAAAATTTAAAATTGAATTAAAATAAAAGATAAAAATATATTTTTATTAATATTATTATAAACGAATAACAAATGAATAATAAATAAATAAAATTTAAATAAATTTATTTATAAATATAAATAAATCAAATAAATTTATATTTATATTCAATTTATTTAATAAATAAATATAAAAAAATAAAAATTAAACATATTTATGAATAATTCATTAAAAACTTTATTCGTTTGCGCATTATCTTTCTACGCCCAAAGTCCACGTCAAAGAGAAGTAAAAGGTTGGACTAAAGTGAGGGCGTAATTCCAAAAAGGCATTAGTTGTTGCTCAGCTACTTACTATTTTTAGAAACCTTTTCCTTTTGTATTATTATACAATACAATGTAAAAAAAAAAAAAATCCAAGACAGATTTACGTTGTATTTAAAACTGGATATAATACAATTTGTTTTATTTTAAAATTCCGAAATTCGTGGGTGAAAGCGAAATAACGGAAAAAAAAGACAGAAAAATAGTAATAATAATAGAAAAGAAAATCTAAAATACATCATCGTCACCGTTTGTCTTTTACGAGTTTCTGCATAAAAGAATATCAAAATCCACGTCTTCCATTTCCATTGGCGACGAACAATGGCAACCGTTGCCATAGATTCTCTTCTCCAAAACCCCAGGCTATCATTTCGTCCCCAAGCTAAGGTGTTGCTGAAGCCGTCTCGCTCATTCAATTGTTCTAAAAATCGAAACCTTCTCTTCTCTCGGGCAGCTTGCTGCTGTATCTTCAAGCCTCGCCTGAAGATTCATGTCGTCAAAGCCAGCTCCACTGATACAGGTCTTACTGACACCTTTGACGCCTTTTCTTTCGATGACGTCTTATATAAGCAGACTTTTCTTGTCAAGAGAATTGAAAAGGTCTTCTATCTTCAGCTTCATTTATGTAAAAGTATTTTGAAATGCGTTGCTTGATGTGTTTTGCATCTTTGCATATAGCTGGCTTTGGTTTTGCTTCTCTCTCTGTTTTGTTACCTGGAAATAAGAAACTTATTGAATTCGAGTTGATTTCTTTACTCGGATGCTTGGTGGCTGAGAAACTTTCTGGAGGAAAAGATGGATAATTTAAACATTTTCATATTAGTGTTGTAAATTGGGTTGATCAACGAGGCTGAATTCTATACACAATAATAATTTCTGGGGAAATTGTTCTGTTTTCAACTCCAATGGAGCTTACTATTCTGTTTTACTATGAGAAAGGATTTAAAAGTCGCGCTTATGGCGGTTGTGAATTTTTAAAAATTTTTCGCAATTTACCATAAAATGAAGTAAAAGAATAGTTTGATCATAATAATATTTAAAATAATTTATGATATTTTAATCTTAGCATCTCCTTATAGTCGCAATTTTCCATTATATTGCTATTTGCTGATGCAATATACCTTTATTTGTATGAATAACAATTCACACCTCCACTGTGGTGAACAACAGTAAGGAAGGATGGCGCTACCGCTAAATAGCGGCCTTTATATCACGTTGCAGATGCTATATAAATCCATGACTATGGCTATAACTTACAAAAAAAAAAAGAACTACTTAAGAATCTGAATAGAAATATGAGGATTAGGTTTCGGTTTGATTAGATGTTTTCTTATTTTCGAATGGTTATTAGTTTCTTTGATTTGGAATGATAGGTGGAGGGAAAATTTTTCATCAGGTTAAATCAATCAAAGGATCAGCGGAATTGGCAGCTCACAGTAGGATGTAGTCTTCCAGGAAAGGGGATTCTTCATCGGGGAGTTTCTTATGTTTTGGTGATAGTGGCAGGTTAGCCTTGATCCTGTGGACATGCTTGTAGATTATGGAATTGAATGTTATTTGCACGCACAAAGATATTATTTTGCTATTGGGGACTTTAGTTATCCAAAAGAAAAGGGTATCGGGGACTTCTTTCTATGTGTACTAAAAAATAATTCATCTTTCAAATCTTGCATTGAATGGGATCAACCTCCTGAAGACATGAGACCTCCTGGTTCAATTTCCATTAGAGTAAGTATTGACTTCTAATTTTTGTGTAGAAGGCTGCTTTTTCATTTTGAGCACAAACATATGGAGTAAGTGGAATCTTTTCAGGACTATGCGATTGCGACTCCCTTGAAGAAACTGTCTGAAGGGGATATGTTTCATGAACTAAAGATTGATTTAAATCCAAGCAGTGCAATTGCAGCTATACATTTTGTCTTGAAGGTTTGTATTTCCAGAATCCAGCGATTGAGAAGATATGCTAATCATTTAAGACATTAGTCAATCTTGTTGTTAGATTGTGTTTCTTTTCCCCTCTGATTTGCGGATTATATGTTGCTTCAGGATGAAGAAACTGGAGCCTGGTATCAGCGAAGAGGTAGAGATTTTAAGATGCCTCTTGTGGATAACCTTGAGGATGATGGCAATATGGTTGGAGCGAAAAGAGGCTTTGGCATATGGACAGGTTGCAGAAAGTGTTATATTCTGTTTGTTGGATTACTTGCAGCTTTAATGCTATAAATCAGTTCATGTTATTATTTTAAATTCATTGAGGATAGCTTTTTCTGTTTATACCAAATTCTGGTGTGCTAACGCATGCTGGTCACTCCTGAGGCAATATATTGTAGAGTATGAAATTCAATGGTTTTTTATTGATTATTAACTTGCATTAAAGAACGCCAACGCCTTAATTTACTGAAAAAGATTGGATTAATATCAATAAAAATCACTTCATTGTTATTTACTTTCTGTTATTCCTGATTCGGGTTAGTTGTTTGTACAATTTGTTGTGGTTTGCTGTTCATGCAATCATGACTTAAGGTTAGTGTCTCAGAGGTTGAAAGCTGTTTTCTTCCCTAAAACTTCTAAGCTACAATCAGAAATCAATATAGAGAATGAGTCAAATGGCCCACATGCAGATAAGCCATAGTATCCCATCTGAGCCTAGTTTATGGGTTCGGAATATGAAGTGGGTCAGACAGGGAACAGAATGGACCCTTTTTGCCACCATAGCTTTTCCTATCCTCAATGTTCTTTGTTCAGTGAGATATTGACAAATTTCTTTGTCTTCTCCATATCCTAGGTGCTCTGGGGCAGTTCTCTAATATGCTACTTAAAGCAGAAGCATCACATGCTAATAGTCAAAACAGCAGCGGTGAGTCCAAGGACTCTAAAAATGAGAATAGGCAGCTTGAAGGATTCTATGAGGAGCAGCCTATTGTAAAAGAAGTTTCTATTGGTAACTTAGTGGGTGTTGCTGTTAGGAAGTCTCCTGATTCAACCAAAAATGTTCTGTATTTAGAAACTGATATACCTGGAGATGTTGTAGTTCACTGGGGTGTTTGCAGAGATGATGCTAAAACATGGGAAATTCCTGCTTCCCCGTATCCACCTGAAACAGCTGTATTCAAGAACAAGGCTTTACGCACTTTATTGCAGGTGTGAATTGTAATATATTCTCCTGGTGATAACTTAAACATAGACTAAGTTCTTACCGCACATAACTAGTTATATTCTTGCTAACAATTTCTCAAGTAAGCTTATGCATTCTTATTTTGATGTCAGCAAATAGTTTTTACTAGTTTCATGCAGTTGCTTTGTTTTCATTTAATCAAACAAAGAATATAATTGTGTGTGATCTCTTCATTGGATACTTTTATCAGGATGTCTGAAATTAAGGTCTATTTTTTTCCTTTTTTTCTTTTAGATTTAGAAGATTTATTCTATTATTCATTTATTGTTGTTACTTGGAAATCCTGGTTTTGCAGCCAAAAGGTATAGGAAACGGATCAAGAGCATCATTCACTTTAGATGAAGAGCTTGTTGGATTTCTTTTTGTCCTCAAGCTGGATGATAACACTTGGTTGAAATTTAAAGGAAATGACTTTTACATTCCCCTCTCTGGTGCAAGTAGTGTTCTGGGTCAACATGGAGAATCTGACAATGCAAGTGAAGAAATTTCTAGTAAAGCATATACTGATGTTATCATCGATGAGATACGGAACTTGGTTAGTGGCCTTAACTCTGAAAAGAGTCAGAAGAGCAAAACAAAAGGAAGCACAAGAAAGCATTCTTCAAGAAATTGAAAAGCTA